GTACAATGGAGGGCAAGATCATTTTCTCAGTGTGAACGCTGAGGACATTTCTCTTCATTCAGTTTTGTCCTCTATTTTTTGCACCAAAAGCTAAGCTCAAGGTGTTCTTTAATATTGGAGGTACAAATTAGAGGGTGAACTTGCAGAATCCTCTGCTTAGGTGGTAATGATGGTATTAGGACGTATAGGTAGATCAGATTATAAATTATATTAAGGATGGGACCAAGAATGCTCCTTGCGGGACACCGGCTGTAGCTGCCTCTGAGAACTCCTTTGCCGCACCTCACTCTAAAGCAGTGTGGATTAGATAGGATTTCAGGATAAAGGAGGGAGTAGGAAGCACTTAAGTTTACAAAGCATGCCCGAGTGCCAGACCATATTAAAAGCCTGTGTTGATGCAGACCATATATATCTAGGAAGCACCCAAGCAATACTCCTTATTCTCTAGAGCACAGGACAGTATCGACAACTATGAAACCTAATTGAATCATGGAATGATGACAACGATAGAAGGAATAATTTTATGAGTATCTAGGATGGGCGTTAAGCGCTTTAAAAGGATTTTGGGCAATGAAGGAAGAAGAATGATGGGCTGTAAGAGGATTGTGGTTGGAACGATTGTGAACTTTAGGAATGAGAATGAAATTATTTAACAAAGGCACTTTTTCGTGAAAAAACGTTTTCGGCGTACTTTAATAATTCCAATAATAACCAAGATAGAATAGGCAAACCAAAATGATCGTTGACGATCAAATTACAGGTTTATCACCCACAGATCTCAAGAGGTACTCTCAAAATTTTAATAACAACAATCAAAAACCGGTGAGTGTAAACTAATTGAAAAAGACAAAAATACTGTTTAATATAGGTTCTATTTATATTAGAAAAATATTAATTACTTTATCCATCAGATGAACTAATAATTTATCACGGATTATTAGAAAATATCCGTACAATCAGTATAAACTGACAGAACTGAGGTTCCGTTTTCTACCAAAGTTTGGTAGAAAAACAAACACAACAAAAATTGTACCAGTCGAAATATGGTTTGCTGTTAAACAATATTGAACGGAACTTTCAAAGTTAATATTATAGTTCAATATTCTATCACATTTCAACCATGTAAGCTTGCAGGATAGATTGATTTTGGCAAAAGCAGATTTTTAGAGCCCATTGCAAAAAAAAAAATATATTACCGAGAAATGGTCGAAAAGTAGTGAATCCGTCACTAAATTAATAGGAAAGTTTTGATTAGATGATCAATGCCCAAACTACAAGACAATTACAACTGGCACCTTTCAGTGTGCATGGAAACAAACCATGAACATGAACAGTAAAGAAAAATGCAGAAAAGATCGTAGTTCCACAACTAAAACGATAAATTGTTATAAAATAACTCTAAAAGGTTTGCATAGAAATATTTGTACAATCTGGAGTTAAGAAAAGGAATAAAAACTGTAGTTCGGTCCAAACTGCAATAGAACTACGACAAATGTCATCCTTCAAGTCGTATGCAGGCAAACTGTGAATGTGAAAAGGCCAAAAAATGTAGAAAAGATACTTGTTCCTCCACTAAATCGATCATTTTTATAATCTAATAATTTTTCATGGATAACTGAAAAAGTTTGAATAGAAATGTGAGTGCAATCCAGAGAAAATGACCAGTAGAAAAAAAACTGTAGTTCTATTTTATCAATATTTGGTCCACTCTCTAAACTTCACTAGAACTACAACATCCATAATCATAGCGCAAGCAGACAATATACATGACTGGTACAGGCAAAGGTAAAAAAAATCGTATTTCTACGACTAAATTCAATTTTCTATTATAAATTATTAATGTTTCATTAATTATTAGGAAAGTTTAGGTAGAAATGTTCGTACAATCCGTTAAAAATGACAAGGAATAAGAAATGCAGTTCCATTTTCTTTTATCGATGGTTCAGCCCACTGATCAAACTACAATAGAACTACAACACCTAGCAACTTTCATAGCACGAGCAGACAAACTTTGTACATGACTGGTAAAGAAAAAATACAGAAAAGGTAGAAAAGATCGTAGTTACACTACATAACCGATATATTTTTATAAACTAATAAAATTAATGCATTATAAGGAAACTTTAGATAGAAATGATAGTAAAATCCTGAGAAATTAAAAGGAGGACCTACGGTTCCATTTTGTATGTTCAGTTCGGTCCACTACCCAAAATTCAAAAAACTACAATCACCTGCATTTTTTACGGTGCGCATCAGGTAATATACAGAGTAAATATAATGTAGAAAAAGCCGAGGTCAAAAGTCCATAACCAAATCGATAAATGTTTTATAAAGTAATAATGATTCTTGGATTATTGGGAATGTTTGGTTATAAATGTTTGTACAATTACAGCGAAATTAAAAAGCGGAAGTACGGTTCCTCTGCCCAAACAACAACAGAACTACAGCAACCGGCACCTTTTATAACGCTTGAAAACCAAGTACATGACTTGTAAAGAAAAGTGAAACAAATCGTAGTTCCGCTAATAAATCGATCAATTCTTTGCAAAGTAATATTTATTAATTGATTATTACAAAAATTTAAATAGAAATATTCGTACAATGAGGAAAGAAAAGTAAAAATAACTGTAGTTCAAGTTTTCCAGTTTATAAAAACAGTTCGGTCCATTGCCCAAACTACAATAGAACTACAACAACCGGCACCGTTCATAGCGCAAGCAGACAATGTACCTGACTGGTACAGAAAAGTGCAGAAAAGGTGAAAAACGTGAACATAGTTCCACGATTAAATTGAATTTTTTTAAAATAAATTATTAATGTTTCATGGACTATTAGGAAAGTTTAGGTAGAAATTCGTTAAAAATGCAAGAATAAGAAATTCAGTTCCAATTTATATCAACAGTTCGCTCCATTGCCCAAACTGCAATAGAACCACAACCGGCACCTTTTACAGCGCAAGCAGACAAACTATGGATATCACTCGTAAAGAAAAATGCAGAAAAGGTCGTAGTTCCGCCAATACTTTTACGTCACTTTTTTATAAACTGATAATTCTTCAAAGAATATTGGGAAAGTTTCGAGTAGAAATATTAGAACAAACCATAGAAAATGACAAGCAGAAAAAAAATGATAGTTCTATGTTATCAATATTTGGTCCAGTCCCTAAACTAAACTAAAAACAACCGAAAGTTAAGAAGGTGACTCTCTTCTCAACTTTCTGTTTGTTTACACTGGAACTCCAACAACCTGCACCGTGGTACATGCAAACTAAACATATTTAGTTAAGAAAAGTGCAGTCGAAAAGATCGTAGTTTTGCTAATAAATCGAGAAAAACGTAAGTTAATAATGTTTCATAGATTATTAGGAAAGTATAGGTAGAAATGTTGGTACAATCCGTTAAAAATGACAAGGAATAAGAAATGCAGTTCCAATTTATATCAACAGTTCAGTCCATTGCCCGAACTGCAATAGAACTACAACAACCGGCACCTTTTATAGCGAGCAGACAAACCATACACATGACTGGTACAGAAAAGGTCGAAAAGATCAGTTTCTCTACTAAATTGAAAAATAAAATGGAGAAAATGAGAATGAGGCTGAACTGTAGTTCCGTTTTATATTAACAGTTCGGTAACTAAACTACAATAGAACTACAACAACCGGCACCTTTAATTGAGGATGCTTGTAAACAAAAGTGCAGAAAAGTTCGTAGTTCCGCCAATAAATTGATATAGATATACAAAATAACAATGATTCATACATTAGGAAATTTTGGATAAAAATGTTCGTACAATCCGGAGAAAATGATAAGGTTGAACTAGTTCCGTTTTATATTAACAGTTCGGTTCACTGCTCAAACTAAACTACAATAAAATTACAACAACCAACACCTTTTATGGCGTATGCTGTTAAACAAAGAGAAGGCTTTTAAAGACAAGTGCAGAAAAATCCGTAGTTCCGCTATTAACGATAAACGTTATATAAACTAATAATGATTCATGCATTATAAGTAAACTTTGGATAAAAATGTTCGTACAATCCGGAGAAAATGAGAAGGAAATTGAACTGTAGTTCCATTTTATATCAACATTTCGGTTCACTGCCCAAGCTAAACAATAGAACTACAACAACCGGCACATTTAGTAGAACATGCTTGCAGACGAGGTGAATGACTTGTAATGAAAAGTTCGTAGTTCCGCTACTCAATCGATATAAGTTATATAAATAATGATTTGTGTATTATTAGGAGGCGAGCAGACATACAACATATAACGTCTGGTTTGGATAGAAATGTCCGTACAATCCGGAGAAATGGATAAGAAGGATGAACTTCGATACCACCCTCTATCAATGTTCGTCCCACTGCCCTAACTAGTAACTACAAAGAAACTACAATCACCGGCATCTCTCATCATGCACTTCGAGCAACATGCAAGACTATGTAAATAAAACGTAGACAAATTCGACAAGTTTTGTTGTTATCAAACGTGTGCAAAAGAACTAGTATCTGCGACGCTGGTTAACCCCGTTTCACTGACATTTACAGAAAACCGAGTACTTCGGTTTTCCACCTTTCTGAGCATTTTTCAGATTTGTTAAAACTCCGATAACCATAGGTGATAGGAAGATGAACCGCCATCGTTCGATTTTGTACTCAGGGGTTCGTAAAACTAACTTCGCAATGTTCTTTTAAGCTCATTTGGTGGCAGTACAAAACATGATTCTATAAAGTATTAATTCTTTGTTAAAAATATGTCAGTTAAGATTACTGGTGAAAGTATAAATAGAAGGAAGATTTGAATTGTCTTATGTATGTCAATTAAAATATACGAACATGGATTGGGAATGTTTGTCGTTTCTAAAACGAAAATATTTCATAAAAGAGAAGCGTGTAAAGCGGGCATCAGCCGAGGGAAGACGTGACGTCGTATGTCCCCGGGGGCGGCGTTACCGCCCTCCGTTCAACGTTTTAAGACGGACGAGCGTAAATGACACTCACCTCGGTGATGAAAAGCGAGACCCGGCGACGTCTTCGTCGGTTGAACGGCCGACGGCGGTACGTTTCGCGTAACTGGCGACAACGGCACTGGGCAGCCGGCCTCGGCCCGCTCCGCGCTCGCTCGATCAGCTGTTCGACGAGGTGGGGACGCCGTGGCCACCCCGTGCCAGGGGGTATCGATCCTACCGCCATTATTCAAAACAATCCGTCTTTTTTTAACTTAAACACTCTATCTATCAGTGTCGTTTCCTATAATTTTGATATTTTTTTAAACTATTTAGGTCCATCAGGTTTCGGTTTCACGCCCCCTTTAGTGTGTAGATCTATGTTCCTGCCTCTATCTGCTTATACCCGATCAACCAATGAAAAAAGGAAACTACTAAACTACCATTTAAATGTTTTATACTAAAAAGTACTATTTTGGGGGGGATAACAATTTCCAACAAAAAGCAAGAATTTTAATCTTTTCTCTCCAGTACATCCTATGCAGCACTATCGAGGAAGAGTTATGATCGTGACTATAAGGCATAAGGTGAAAAGTACATTTTTCCCAATAAAACTAAGCATCTTCTTCTGTGCCTCTTTGCATCTCTTGATGTAACTTAAAACATCAGAATTGTACAGACTATTTAGGTCCATTAAGCTTGTTTCAGCCTTCTTCAGTGCTGGATCTATGCTGCTGCCTCACCCTGCTTATAACCTGACCAACCATTGAAAAAAAGGAAACGACCAAACCATTTAAACTTTTTATACTAAAAAAGGTTGTTTTTTTTTTTTTTTGGGGGGGGGTAAGGACGACAATTTCCAACAAGAAGTAAGAATTTTAACCTTTTCTCTTCAATCCAATCTATGCAGGACTATTGAGGAACAGCATCATAAGGTGAAAAGTATGCTTTTTCCAAAAAAATTAAATATTTTCTTCTGTGCTTCTTTACATCTCTTGATGTAAGAATTACCTTAGCAAAGTGGCTATACTGTATCCAGCCAAATTCACAAAGCATGTTGTGCTCACCCCAATTGACCTTCCACAACATACCACCCATACCTTCAAAAGATCCTTTCTGATCCAGGGCATCCAGGCCCCTAAGCTCTGGAACTCCCTTCCCTTTTCTATTCAGCACTCCGCCTCCTTTTCCTCCTTCAAACCCCATGTGTATAATCACCTTCTCCCTCCAAACATAGACTTTACATTAATATTTGTTATTTTTGTTTATTATTCTAGTTTTTTTCTTCTTATGGCTTGCCCTACTGCCATTGTGCCAAGACTTTTATTTCATTTTATTTTTAATTTCATAGAAGAAACTTCCTTTATTGCATATATATTATTCTAGGGGACACCAGTCCTAGAATAAAGTTTTATTTTTTTAATACGTGCTGATTTCTCTTCTCTGGCTTCTCTTGAAAGAGTTACTCTGAATGGGATTCACATACGTCAGAATTGAACTACAGGAAAAAAAACTGCCAGACCTACATTCAAAACATACTAATCAGAAAAACTGATAAACCAAAGGATGTTTATTTATTTCCTTTTTAATATTTAATTTGTGGATATTGTAGCCATAATTGAAAAAGATGTAGGTCTTTGTTGGAATTATTTACTGTATTTGTATTCTATATCAATTTATTTAATTTAATACAACAAAATATACATCTGTCTTAAATTGAATTTATTATTAAGTGTTTAATGTTCTTACAAGCTGGGCTTGAAATATGGATTACATTGGTATTTTTCTTCGTGATAAGTGTTGCATCTCTGCCTGACAGACGCAAGAACGAAGGCTTGGGAATTCATGTGGTCGGTGTTGCTGACGAAGATGATTTCAAATTGTATGACGACAAGACGCTTATAAAAACTCCAGACCTGTTTAGAAAAAGACAACGTAGAAAGGAGAAATTCTATTCGGTGAAGAAGTATTTCAAGTACCCCGAGCCCGATTATCCCCAGTTGTTGGAGAGGAAATACAGGATTAAAGTAAAAATACAAAATGTCGCGAATAAAGAAACAAATTACGACTACGAGGCTTTGAAAGATGAATATTTGACGATAGAAGAGGTAGAGAAAAACATTGACCGTTTAAATAATGCATCAGGTAGGATACAAGCTCGTGTTCCGCAGGTCTTGCACGAGATCGTCGATGTAAGCATGCCGAAAAACTGTTCTTATGAAGAAGACACCAACTACGGCATTCAGGCGATTCGGTGTGTCATGAGCGAAGCGGCGCAGTCTGGCTTGACAAAAGGTGTGAGAAGGCATGCAATCAGATTAGTGCTTTTCTGGCTGATTGTGTACGCAGTGATCGCCATCCCGCTTTGGCTTGTTAAAGGTTGGTGTTGCTGCTGCTGCCGGTGCAAGATCTGTTTCCCCGAACTCATCGCCGAAGAAGTCAAGACTTACATAGTACGAAATCCACCCGGCGTTATCACGCTCGCGAATGGAAAGACGAAGAAATACCCGGCGCAGATCTATGAAATTGACATGTTCAGAGAGCTGGAAGTAAAAGCTTTTAGATTCTAGTTGTTTAAAATTTTAACAAAAGAATAAAACACGGTGTAAAATTAAAATTAAAAAATTGTAAAATTGTATCAAATGTGATAATGGCAGCTGAATATAAAAACTTTCAATTTTTGCTAATAACCAGTTTTATAAACTATTACAAAGAATAAAATGTTTTAAAAAATTCTGTGTAAAGCCTTTTTTTTTTTTTTTTTTTTTTGTTAAGCCATTTAAAATGTTATTATTATAGTAATGTTTTTGTCTAATAAATTAATTTAAAAAATAATAAAGGTTAAAAGAATTGCAAGGGATATTTATATATTCATATAATATTAACAGGATAAATTAAAAATAAATATTCCTATGCGGCAATAAAAACATCAAATAAATTAATCATTAGTAGAAAAACAAATCCCTTTATACAGATAATATACATATTAAAATTAAAGATTTCAACAAGCGCTTAATTCATATAATTTTTTTCTAATATTGTCAAAAGTTGGTATGTCGACGTTCAGAGGGATCACTTTGCCACCGAGTACCGGGTCAACTGTTGGGATTGTAATTTCGCACAGGTCAACTGGCTCATTTTCTTGTATCACCTACGAAGAGGAAAACAAAAGAATAAATTTGTAATAATTTAATTTTTTATTAGTAAAATACCTTGACCATTTCGGGCGTCGGAAACAGTGTTAAGTCTGTTAGGATGTGGCCGCCCTTCTTCTGCTTTACTACTTCGAGCATGACCTCATTCTAAAGGGGGAAAAAATTATGACAATTATTTTATACAATGACAAGTATACCGGCTTTGTCCTACCTGAAGCGCAATGGTCCTTTCACGTATTTTCTTCGCCCTAAGTTCATCCTGAAGGATATGTGTTCGTATCGCAGAGCCCCAAAGCTCATGCTTCTTGCCTGAGAGATTCACAACAGTTGGCATCGAGTTTAAGTAGTCCTTGTGCAGCTCTTTCAGCTTCTTCTTCAGCTCGTTCACACGCTTCATCTCGTCATCTGGGATCTTCTTCGGAATCTTTTTTTAAAAATAAAAATCACCTTATTATTTCATATTATTTGCTACAAATTTTAATCCAAGCAATTATTATAACATAATAATTATGGAGGACCATGGTGGCCGAGAGGTTATGGCATCTAGTTCGTATTTGCCGTGCTAGCGATTCTGTGTTCTAAATCCTTATAATTTTATTTAAGATTTTAAATTTGAGATTTTATCTAGAGATCTTCGGGGCATTTAGGCTGGTCATTTCATCCTACATTCACTATTTTGGGTTGTCAGATGTCTTTCAGCTTATCGCCATCACGTTTAAAAAAAAAACAAAAAAAACAGGTATTTCAACAACAAGATTATATGAATCTTCAGGTGCCAGTGTTTTTGAAAAAGACCGATCTGTAAATATGACACCTGGGACCTTTACCTTAGTGATGAAGGCCATGGCCAACGTCCCCTCCCAAAAAAAGTGCTCAACATCCAACAACCTGTTACTGCTAGTTTCGTTCAGAAATAATATTTGGACGGGGAAAAGTGTTTTTCTTACATGAATCGGACCGAGTTTGTTAAGCATATCAACATATTTTTTCATCTGTTCGCTCATAGTTGACTTCCTTTCCTTTTTAACGAGCGATTTCAAATGTCTTATCTCTTCGAGGAGGATAGGTGATTCCATGACCTTGAGAGTGCCGCCGCCGGGCAGTTCTGTCGTACTGGTGACCACTTAAAAAAAATTGGTTTTAAAACAACTCGAACAGTGTGAAAACTTTGCTCTGTACAACTTACTACTGCTAGATATGAATTTCAATGAATCTGAAGACTTTTTCGGTGCGGATTTCAGCTTGTCCTTGAGTTCAACCTTCTCCACTTCAAGCGAGTCGATGTCTTTCTGAAGGTGGTCCATTGTGTCCTCGAATTCTTTTTCCTTCCTTCTCAACTGCTGTTGCGCCTCGTCGACTTTTCTCTGAAATGCGGAAAAGCAAACGTACAAAGGGAGTTTATTGGAAACAATAAAATAAGTTTTTCTAAATAATAATAAGTCTTTTTAATATCACATTTTCAGTACTTCGAGTTTCCTATTTTTTACGTCCTTATTTTCTTACCTTTTTTCTTTCTTTTAACAGGCTGAACTTCGCATATGAATGTGATGATATTTATGTGTAATGTGTATTTTTTGAAAGGAAGGGTTCGTGGGAGGAAAAAAAAAAAAAAAGGCCAGGGGGGATGGCTGGAATCGAACCCATGACAGTGGGGGTCTTCCTTCGAGCCGACAGTCTATCACGCTGACCTCTTGGCTTCTGCAGTCCCCTTCTTAGTTTGTAATTGTAAGTTGTACAGTTTTTTTTTTAAATTTCCCATAATTTTTGTAGTTACCCAATAAAATTTTTCAAAAATAATGTGCTTGTAAAGTTGTGTCACCATTAATTTATCGTATTAAGATTAGCGACAAGAAAATTCAGAAAACCTAATGAAGATGACAAAAAAGTTTGTCGAACAGGAATGGGACACTAGATCGTCCAAGCAGATGAAGGATAAAAACCCATGTTGATATTTTAAAACTGGGTTTCCATTGTGCAAAAAATTCACTGCCCAACTAAATGTGAGAATTTCTCGCAAAATGCCATCTCGGGTTAGCCATATCCATGAGGTGAAACAAGGTGAACCATCAGATTGCAAATCAGATACTGTTTGTAACTACACCAACTGCATTTGCTAAATGTCTCATTTTGATGTTCATTTCCTTCCACACACCCTCTCTCTTGTTCTTGTTATGATCAGTTTTATCTTTAGCATCACACAAAACTCGTGGCATTCATACATTTGGATAAGTCGAAGAATGAACTCTTCCTGGTTCATTCTCATACTCGACCCAGAAACAAAAAAGAAACAAACAACGCAAAATACTTTTAAGCGCACTAAAAAACTGATAACCAGTCAGCTCGTTCCGAAACATTCTCGCACTAAAAGTTTCGCAGTCCCGGCTAGGTCTCTACAATGAGTTTCGTGAAACAATTGCACGAGTGATGTTTTCGCACAATGAAAACCCAGCTTAACAAGATTTTTGTTGGGTCTAGTGGCGACATCCTGATAACTTTGAATGGTCAGATTGGGGTTAAACCTATTTTCCAGTTGATAAAAGGAACAACCCTGTTATTACGTTATCAGGCTGATGAAAAATTATTGTCACATCCACCATACAGCCCTAATATCACTGTCAGGTGACTTATTTCTTCGCCCCATGGGCCATTGTGTTTTGAAATTTTGCAGAATTGTCAGATTTCTTTGTAATAGCCCTATTGTAGTGAACCTGTTGGTACCCCTGTGGGTTTGAGCAACTGGCTGGGTAAAATATTGCTGATGACAGTTAATAAAAATGGGTATTATTATGCAGAAAGAATTTTTTCTTTTTAATTTTACTTACCTTTAAGGTCTCAACTGTTATTTCGTTGTCTCGTATGACGTTAGCGAGTTTCTTATCTGCAATTTCTTTCCTGAGGATCATTTCGGCAAGTTCATCTTGCTTGGCACGGAGATTCAGCCTAAGCTCGCGCAGATCTTCCTCCTTGCTCTCCAGTTTCCTCCGTAGGCCTGCCATAGCGTTGAGCTCTTCTTTGACCTGCTTAGATCTCAGCACCAATGGCGGATCAATTCCATCCTGCAAAATAAAAAGGTGAAAAATAAGCATTCATAGGGAACAAAAACCTCCATTACTTTTGCGTTTTTCAGGGAAAGATATTTATCCTCATTGTCTTGGAGCGCTTTGACAATATTGGTCACATTGGTTGTTACGGTGTTCATAGCCCATGGGATGTAAGTGTCTACGTTTCTCTCTTTATCGCCGATAATGTCATTGTGCTTATTGAAGCTCTGTTTTAACAACTCGGCAAGAAGCATTGGAGAAAGTGTATTATCATTATCTAAAATATACACAAGAAAATAAATATATGCAAAGATTTGTGCGTTATTTTTATATTCTTACCTGTGGGAAGTACAGCGAGGCGAGATGCGACGCCAGAAAGTATCTTGCTCAATGTCACGACAGGAAGAGCGATGCTCGTCAAATCGGTATTCTGTCCGAGAAGGAGGTTCGGGATTTCGGCACGGTGTCTCACCTGGCGTAGTTGAGCCCGTAGGGTATCAAAACTAGGCTTGATCTTATTCAATGTTGCGATACCTTCACCCTAAAACAAACAGTCGATATATTTAATTAATATGAAAAAAAAAAAAGATTAAAAATGTTTTACTCTTGGATATTAGCAATTTTATTGCTTAATAAAATTGTTTAATAAAATAATTGTCCTTTTAAACCATAATTCATTATATAAACTAAATTTGTTCAAAGATATCAACTTGCCTCGGGTAAAATGGCCGAGATGATGCTGATGTCTGTTTGTACGCTGTCTAAGGCACAGAGTAAACCTTTTCCAATATCTGCAAGGAGAAGGCCTTCGTGAATGGAACAATCGTCGCCTTGTAACATCAGCATTGGATGGAGCGTATTAAAGTATGTCACTATCTTCTCGAGGCTCTCTGTGTTCAGGTTCTCGTCGACCTGTTCCCTCTTTAGCATTTCTATGTACGAGTCAAGCGCTTTTTCCTGTTGCGCCATGTTCGGATATGACGCACCGACTTTAAGGAGCATCTCTGGTTTGCACGTATTCAACGAGTGTACGAATTGGTGCAAAATTGCCTGTATAAAAAATAAAAAATAAAAATACAGTATATTAAGACTGTAAATTATCATTTATAAGTTATATTACCTGCAGCATATGAATGTGCGCTGAAAATCTTGACATGGCTGAAAACTGCTGCGCTGATGTTACATTACTTTTATCGACAGTTGTGACCGGTGGGAATTTATCGCGTAATTGTGAAATCAATACTTGGCATTTTGCGAGAAGACGAGGCATAAGGAGCACCAGCATAATCGCATCTCCATCACCTGGCAAATACAAAATTTAAAAAGGTTTATTTAAAAAATGTATGAATATTCATACCTCCTCTTGTTAAAAAGGTGTCGGGCATGTATGAAAGCAAGTACTGAACATGTTGCTGCGCCTGTTGCACCTCCATGTGACGCAGTTCCAACTCAATGGCTCTTGCATGCGCTTTTGTCTCTGCGAACATTTTCTTGAAATCGAGCATTTCGGGTATGGCCGAAGTAGAAAGCGACGATGACTTGGAGGTGATCTCCAGCTGTGATCGTAGTTCCTGGTTCTCTTCTTGAAATCTCTGAACTAGTTCACGGAATTTCACTATTGTGAGCTCTCGGTCAGCCAGACTCTCAAGGACTGACTCGGTCTTTCTTTGTGCCTAGGATTAAAAAACAAAAATTATACCTATATCGCTTTAAAACGTCTTACGATTTGTTCTCACCTCCCACACTTGGTGATTTTTCATGTCCAGCTCTTGTCTGAAGTCGAGCTCTTGCTCCTTGAATCCTTCCTGAAGCTGATCGTTGATATCTTGAAGCTCTTCGAGCTCCTGCACCGCCTCTTCAAGCTCCTTAACCCTTTCTTCAAGAGAAAGCTTCTGTTGGCCTAACGTTTCCACCATCTCTTCTGCGCCAAGAGCTGCATCGACCTATATAGACAAAAGCTAATTAAACCTGACAAACATTTATTATATTGGCACATACGTTTGCATGAAGTTCAGATATTTGCTCTTCCATTTGATCAATCTGCGCTCTGAGTTTTTCATTCGACTTGAAAATCGTATCAAAATCTGCCTTTTTCTCTTCAAATTCCTTCAGGAACTTTTGTTTCTCGTGTTTTTCATGAGCCGACAAATCCCTTAATCTGTAGAATTTTGAAACCAAAATTTTTATAATTTATTCCTCCATATAAATAGCAAAGGTTTTGCATTGTTCGACACATACCGCACAAGTGTCTCCTTTAGTTTTTCATTCTGCTGTACTAGTTGCTTCATCTTGAAAGACGAGGAGCCATCCTCCTCGGTAGCAGGCTGCGTCACACCTTCCATTTTGTCAGACAGTTCAGATCTAAGTATCTCCAGTTCCATTTCCAGCTCTTCGATGCGTTCTTGTGCCTGCTCGTACTCTTTCTGAATAGCATCCGCCTTTTCCTCGGCCATCTCCTTGTCGAGTGTGGTCATCTCTAGCGTATCCGCTATCTCAGACAGCTCCTCTCTCGCTTGGACCGCCTCCTCTTTCTCCTTCTTGACCTTTTCAAGCTCCTTCTTGAGGGACGCCTGGGCTTCCATGATCTTGCTCTTGAATTCGACCGACTGCTCCAGCTGGAGCTTAAGTGTTTCCAGTTCATGTACCTTCTCTTTATACCTGACTAATTTTTTTTTTTTTTTCAGAAAAACAATTTTTGAGACAAGAAAAACAAATATACTGTATCTACTTGTAGCAAACTACTCACTTCTTAAGGTCTCCAGTTTTTCTGTCAGATCTTTATGCTGTTCTTTAAGCGCCTCAAGCTCAGGGCTGGGCTCTAGGGCAAGAGCTCTCCCAGATGAGACCGTCGTTGTAGCAGTGCTCACGACCTGCCCAGGTGTAAACTGGGGCTTGAGCGTCTCGACAAAGCCCGTCTAAAATGGATAAACATAACATGAGCATTCATTCAATCTGTACAAAAATCCCTTAGCTCAATTTTTATACACATATGTAACAAGTGTAAGTAATCTATTTGCAATTATTAGATTTAAACAATTATTATTAGATATTAAAATGCAAAACTTGAAAATGTGTAATGAATGAGTCAAATAGTATTTGTACAATCCAGAAAACTATTATACACTCCAAGGTAACAGATAAAACAATTATATTAATTTTTTTTTAAATTTACATTCAGCAAGAAACAAGATCTTTTATTAGTTGTTAAATATAGAACAAACATTAAAATTGTTAAATTTAAAATATCTATATCTGGCAAGTATTAAAATTTTAAATATTTCTTTCGTATTTGCCACGTACTATCCTTCAAATGTTTATTTTTGCATACATTGTGATAAATGCAGGTCGTCAAAGAGTAGACAAAAGATGCAGCATGTTCGACAACTGATCACAATTAGTGAGCGTCAGAAGCTTCTAGAAGTTCCAGGAAATCAGCACCCATGCACGGAGGAAGGGATAACCATAAGTGAGAAGAACAATAGACTTTTGGGCCTACATACTTTCAGTACAAGACAAGTGAAATGTTCTGAACTGTCATCTCATTGAAATTGTCAGAGGTGCAACTATTTCGGCTCTGCAGATAGAAAAAGGCTAAAAGAATGTGGATTGATCAGTGTACGAGTTGCTTAAGGGTCTCTTCTAACTAAAAAGCACTTGTCTGGGAGAGGGTTCTGATAGTAGTCTAAGATGTCCAGATTCAGATTCCAAGTTCAGATATTTGCTCAATGCAATATTATTCCTCACCTCACCTTTTGTCATGTTCTTTATCATGATGGAGGCGTGAATAAGTTGTTCAAGGAAGGAATGTGAATGCAGATAGGTATGTGGAAGAAAATCCTACAAAATCATGTAGCTTTTACTAGTAATGTTGCAGATCACTTTTTAAAGAACAAGATCACACAGTCGAGATCGGGAGAACAATATGTTAAGAGTATTGAAACGAATGAATAGCCAGTTTGAAATCCTGATCTCAACTTCATTGAACATGTGTTGTAATCAGGTCAACAGAATGTCCAAAATTTGGGTGTTGTGGACAAAGGTCTTCTCGAATTAATATCAAATAAAATTCCAAGAGCTATGCTAGGATTTGAACTCAGAAGCACAAGTTTGGCAAATTTTTGTCTGACACCTTCTCTCAGCCAACACAGTCCCTTACAAAGTTTGTATTATATTGCAAAGAATCAATAATATAAATAAATTTTTAGTTTTACAACTAACATCAGTGCTTAAAATGAGTTTTTCACCTTCACAAAAAAATTTTCAAGGGCCTTCAGCCTGAGAACATCTGTACCAGAGTACAGAATCACACAAACGGTAATCAAAGCTCAACACTTTAATTAAATCTCAAAAATAATTGCTAATAACCAACTTAAAAACAATTGAAAATATTTAAAATTGTAATCTTGCTAGATATATAATTAAATTTTAAGAAAAATTAAAAAATATATTTAAATTTTCCTGTGAAATCATCACTTTCTATTGCACTACAAACGAGGAATATTTTATTTAAAAAATCGTAGGAGGTAGTCATTCAGAAAATTTGAAATAAATTAAAAAAAGAAGTACAAAAAAAGAAAAAGCGAATGGCAAAATAAGCTTCAAGTGCAGAAAAATTGAAATTAAATTTGAAAAATGTGCTCACAAGACTGAAAAAAGGGTAGACCATGCGATTTATATGTTAAAAAAAAAAAAATAAATAAATAAATATTATAAGACAGAATTGGTGTTTGTAGTTGGCGAGTTGTGCTTGGGAAAAATTCCTACATGCTTTTGAATCCCGACATTTTCCCTTTTCGCATATATAAATCAAGTTCTTTGCCTTTGGGAAATTATGAGGTCTCACTTGTTTTCTATCACATTTACAGTCTAAAGAGGCTATGACAATCTTCTGATAATTTAACATTTGGCTATGTACACGTTAAAAGTATTCCACCACCTAAATATTCATGAAAACATTCGTCCATTCGTTTTCAAATAAATGACAAGAAATATTAATATCATAAATAAGATATAAAACAAATGCCCACAGATATTAAGAAGATTGGACTCTTCTTTTTCCATGAGTAGTGGTACAATGGTTTAGCCATAATTTACTAAACAAACAGAATTACCACGAATTTTATTATTTCATTACACAAATTCATTCGATATGAAACGTTTGTATGTTACATTCTGAAAATCATTGGGTACGAAGGATTGCAGGATTTGGAAAAGCTTATTATTATAATAAGCAAAGAGTATGGAATTTCTCATTTGTTAACATGTTATTTTTAATAATTGCTGTTTGCTAAATTATAAGTGTAGAACATCATTGTTGGTTCTTAAAATGTATTAAACTATTTGTATAGTTTATTCGTCCTTAAGAACCTCTTGATGACACTTCTAATATTAATAGAATGAAAAATATTAGCCAAAGAACTAGAAAATGCAACTTTTTGAACTTTGACACTAATGATCGCAGAGAGGGTTAAAACTATAAATTGCTTTAGCCATATTAGATAAAAATAGTTTCAAATCAAAAATTATACTTTGGCACATCATTCTCGCAGGGGAGGAAGATCAAATATATTTTTTAAAAAGCTGAGAATTACACTCATAAAAACAATAAATTTTTGATTTCTAATTTAATCATGATTTCTTAATTAGTTTAATAGAAAATGTAAATTGCAAAATTTCCACTTAAGGTTTGCGGTTTGGTCTTTTGAGGTCGTTTTAATCTACCTAGAATCGCTGTTTTGGTCTTCGGGCATGTTTTGGTTTCTTGCCATTTTCAGTATTGGATCTCTGACTCCATGGGACAAATATGTCTGACATGACAAGAAGGCAGATCAAAATGATCTGAAATGACAACAATAGAAAAATAAAAGACTAACAGAGAAAATAACCATTTCATCCACACCAACGAAGTCTTTCAGTCGAGGCAGTTTGGTTGATTTAACTAATTTGTCATGTGAACATGTGAAGATTTGGCCGATTTCACACCAGGCAACTTGTGGAATCGACTTCTCTTCCCAACAGTACATCAGTACGATGTTAGAACCAAAGGAAGCAGAAGTGCAAGAAGAGAAATAAAAATGGAGGAAACTCATTAAAAGAAAAGTGTAAATTCATCCATTGTTAAAAAATTGGGAAACAGGAACTTTCTCACTACATCTGTACCACTTCCCTCCAAGCTTCATCCCTTTTAATTATGTTGCTGTAATCCTCAAACTTCATATCCCATACTATGGAACTAATAGAAATTTCTTCAATGAACTTTTCCACATTGAAACTTCAAATTGCATCGTTGGTGGTGATCTCAGTTGATTCACTAGGCAACTGGTGTGAAGAAATGCAGAGTAGCCTTTTGTTTTGAGTCAACCAGTCTGGATGAGAACTTGAGTGACACTTGTGTCTGCAGGCTTGAAGGGGTTCAAGAGGTTCCTAATCATTTGCTACAGGGATTTGGAATCAGTCCATTCAACTAATTTCTAACCTCGTCTAAAAAGGCCCTCATCAACTCATAATATCTCCATTAAACTAAAAAATCCTCTAGTTAAACAATACAATTAAATAAAAAATAGTACATCACAACATTCAATATTAACATTATTAACATTTGAAAACAAATAAAATTGTGATTTTCTTTTAAGCAACTTTAAAACAATGATATACTTAACCCTTACATCCCACAGGTACACCTATAAATTTCATAGGGATATTTTGCAGCTAATTTTGGCACAATTATGTTTTGTAATAATCTGACAGAAAATCTCACATTCAACATGACGTGCAGTTCCTCAAATTTCTTCTTCCCATTTTGTGTAGTTCCTCAAATGTCTTCTTCCCATTTTGTGTAAGTTTATCATTTGTAAAAGTTAGTGATGTACCTGTGCCACTCGACAGTTCAAAACATGTCCGGATTCTCCTGTGGCCCAGGAGGTTCCCATTTTCAAAAACTTTCCTTTTGCGTTTTCTAGGATTAGGAAGTTTTCATTTTTTATATATTTACAAGGATTATTTGACTGCATTTTTTACATCAAAGATGGAATAATTTGTTGTTATTATTTAGTTATGTCTCGGAATCTATTTGTAGCTGTTTAAAGTGGCTTTGTGTTTTAATGATCCTGATGATGTCACTTGTCCGTTTAGGGGAAATAGCAGATCCTTAGTTTATTTCTTGCTACGTCGTGTAAATACTCACAGCTATATCTATCTTTACATCTAGTTAAACATATAATTATATAATTCACTGCCACCATTAACATTATTTAAATACATTTATACTTTTGAATGTGTTAAAATTAGTAAACACTGAATAATTGTAACTAAGTGGCTAAGAAACCGGCGTTTGAGGGACACACCTGTAGCGTTATGGGATAATCACCGAAAAGAAATTTTTGCACTTAATAATAAGAAATTCTGAAATTCTTTTCTTGTTCAATGCCAACATATGAAAGTCCAATTATGTTGAAAATACTCTCTGAGGTCAGTTCTAAACGATATTATATAAAACATACGCTAAATCTAGCCAGCAGAGGGATGGACTAATTGGATCATGTTTAATGAATTAAATTTGAAAAAAAAGAAAAGAAGAAAAACAGCACAAGCATTTCACCCATTTCGTTCAAAATGAATAATTCTCATCAAGCTCAAATCTAAGTCTAACGGTATTATTTTTCAGGTATTTTGTTCAAAAGAGCCTAAGAAATGAGATAGTCAAGATCGTGTTCGGAAGAAAAAAAAAAGATAAAAATAAAAAATAAACCTAATTGATTTCTATTTTTTAAATGGATAGACTAATAACTATCGAGACATTTTTCTAATTGTTACAGTGCAAATTTACAGCTATTTCCACAACATTGAAAACAGGCCAGCTTTTTAGAGGGCAAGCAATGTCATTTATGGAAGTGACAGGAGCAAAGAAGCAAGTAAAGTTTGAAAAGCGTGAACAACCAAACACACGGAATATTTTTTTTGTCTTTTGATTTTGTTTGTTTGTTTTTTTGTTGCTTGCCTGGCCTTCACTTGACGGTTGCTCTTCTTCAGCCACTTTCGCCACCTTTGGCTTTCCACCCTTCAACACAAGTCCCCAATCGGTAGAATTAATAATCAATGGGTAACATAGCGACATGATTTTTGTTGAGTATTTTTTGTTAAAAAAAAGACAACCCTTTTACAATTCGGCACGTTGTTTATTTATTAACTGTAATTATCTTCAACCTATTATCTAAATTTAAAATTTTACCTGGAAATCTTGGAATGCAATACAGCTGCCCTTTTCAAAGTAGTAAAATATTAAATTTAAAAAAAGCAATCGATAATTCTGTTAAAATTAAGTGACCAATTTGCAAAGACTTGTTTATTCATTTGTTTAGAATGAAAAAGTAATAAATCATTAACTAAAAAGCTCAAATTGTTCAATTATCAAAACAATAAAAAAGATGAATTCACCTCAGAATGAAGTACTTCTAAGTTTCCTTTTTAAATTTATATAATAAAATAAAACGTTATATTTACAAGACAACTGTTTACATATTTATTACATTTGAAATATAATAGGTTGAATACAAAAAACAAAAAAATGGATTTACTATAAAAAGGTTGTCTCATGCATATCCTTCATCTTTTATCAAATTAAATTGAAGAAGAATAAAATCAATAAAATGATATAAATAATGAATGATAGAACTGAAAAGTAATAAAATTATCTGAAAACAAAATGATCATAGACATGCTTACTTTAAAATAAAAACCAATGAAAGCTTAATTCACATTAGCTTTCATCAAAGAATTTCTACCTTATTTCTTTCACTCTAACGTCAACCTAACACCGTTCAATCCCTAAATGTTCTCTTTTTTTAACTTTGATATAAAATAAAGAGATAGAAAGGGCGAGGAAATAGATCGAGGGAGTGAGAGAGAACAAGAAACGCCGTGAAGAGATATTAACACAAGTTAGTGTGTTAATTTTCATAGAGTTGCTATTTACAATGTTAATGTTTTATGTAGGATTAAAGTGCAGTTCATGGCTTATTTCAGAAACGTCACCCTCCGCCATGCTTGTTATCTGAACCTAGTGTGGTAAGCAGACAAAGAATTTTAAGTCTGTACATTTTCCCTTTTCCCTTCACATTGATTACAATCAATTACTTGTTTTGTAGTCGGAATGAGCGATTTGTTGGGCCGCCGAGGCGTGATTAACGGTGTCTTCCGCGACTCCAATGGTGTAAGTTTCTGCAACATAATACCTCTCTACCAACAGCTCTCCAAAATATATAAAATATATATCAAACCACCAATCCTTTATAATGTCAGACACAAAAAATAAAAACAATCAGAAGGAACTCATAAGTCTTACATTTGTTGTTTGATTTGCTACATTTTCTTTAAAAAATATATATAATTTTTATTTATTACTCCTAATTATGTTAACTGTGTTTTAAAACTTTTAGCATGTTTGATAAGAAGAGGTATCGGCACTTTTAATTTGCAGACCAATATTTAAAAAACAACTATCTTTTTTTTTGCAAAATCTTGTTTTACTTCACTAATTAATTAGAGAAGTTTGTACATTTCAAAAACTGGAATTTAATAAGAACTGAAAAAAATATTTGTCATTAACGCTAGGACTACTAACAGATAAGAAATCTACCAAAATCAGTCAGTATGGCTAGTCTTTAAAAAAATAAATGCACAATCACTTTTATATTATTTGAAAAATTTTGTATTATTACTTTATTTAGGCCTATGATTTTTAAATATGGATTGATATAGATTACATTTACTGTAAAGTTAATTATTAAATATATTAATATATTGTCATTTCACACTGTTATCACAAAACATGTAATCATTACTGCACATAGATTTCATATTTGTTATCGTGTGAATTATTAATAATGGTTTCGAAAGTCCTAATATATTCCTCAGAAGCTTGGTGGAAGAACTGGATGTTTTTCATTTGTTCTGAATTGGTATAAGAAACCATGATGAAAAACTGTTTTGGCAATCATTGTAATAATATTTCAATAGTTATTGCAATTTGCATGAATTTTGAAATCAAACTGTGAAACAAATCATTTTGACTGGTAATGATAGCTTTTGTAACATAACATACTATAGATACTTGATAAACTTAGTTTTACTTACAAAATAAATTTATTATATTACTATTTTCAACATATTTTTACATTTTTTAAAATAACGATAATAATAATTATTATTATTTTACGGTTACCATAAAATAGCATCTCTACCCAACTACATGCCAATACCTCATCAGATGAAAAAAAAAATAAATAAATAAATGCTATGATAATTACCATGTCAAATACAAATGAAAACAACATAGAAGACAAATGTATTGGAAATTGTGATTGACGTGTTTGCTACTTTATTGTTCAGACCGTTTACACCATAATCCCTAATTATCCTTAATTATTAGACCAAGATGAAATGAAAGAAGCGAATAAAAATATAACGAATAAAAAGCATTCTGTTGTGTTTCTTTGGTGTAGTAAGCATGTTAAAGATTTCAAAGCAAACATGTGCCCGGTAAATTAAAAATAAAATAATATTAAACAAAACAAAAACAAAACATTTAGAAATGACATGGCAATTTCAGGCATTTGGCATCTTCTACTGAGCGAAATTAAAAAGCAAATCAGGTAAAGAAACAAAGTTCCTATGTTTCTGTCCAATAGCAAAAAAATGCATCAATGTCGGTGGGACAGAGTAAAAAATAAAATGAAATGAAAACAAACAAAGAAAACACTATGAAAGATGGTCTGCTGTATATTGAGCAAAATATATTAATGCAATTAATCTGTCATTTATACACTTTTTTTAAATTTGTTTTATGTTTTTATATTTCTTCTAGATTGGGTAGCGTAGTATGTTTTTATGTAGGTCCTATAGTTTTTAGTTTTTATTAGAATATAGTTTTTCTACAACTATGAGGTATGATAATTTAAAAAAAAAAAAATTGTTAGTATTCTGGGTTCAAATTCAAGGCTGCCCAATATTCAAACTCAAGACCCTTATAGGGAATACACTTACCCGATGCTACCCAATGCAAATTCAGTCCATTTTTCCATAAGATTGTATTACCCCCCAACACATCTGCCCGATGTTATGCAAAACTACCCTACTCTATGCTCTGCGAACCCCACTGTTCAGATTTTTGTCGGGTCGCATCGAGTACAGTTAACGACAAAAGAACCAGACACTTACATTTTTATTCAAACTACATGTATTATTGTCATTATATTAATTACAACAAACTTATTTTAATATAAACCAAATTAACCAAGATTAAAAATTTCATTATTTTTATTTAAAAAAATTAATTTAATGGTTTGGTAGAAAATTGATCAAAACACCAGAATACCATTTTTTGATATAATGAATTTAACTAACAATTTATTTCATGGTTTTGTTCATACAATTACACCATTTTCGTTGAGTAGCATCAGAACAGGACAATCATATTTTTTGTAGTTTATTTCAAACTATGTATATGTCATTTTGTCGTTATATTATTTATAACATTTTTATTTTAATATAAACCAAATTAAACGAGATTAAAAATTCATGAGTTTTTATAAAAATTATTTAATTATGATGGTTAGGAAGAAAATTTATCAAAACACCGGAATAACTTTATTTAAAACAATTAAATTTAACGAACAATTTATTACATGGTTGAGCTCATAAAATTTAACGAACAATTTATTACATGGTTGAGCTCATAAAATTTAACAAACAATTTATTACATGGTTTTGCTCAAAATAATGCATTAAAACAAAAGAGGTGTTGTGATTGTGATACTGATTTGTGATACATGCTGTGTGACTGAACGTGGCGTGTGCTTGCATCGGGCAGATGTGCACACCCTACCAAAACGTGGCAAGGCGTCGGGTTGCATTGGGTAGCGTCGCATGGCGATGCATCGGGCAAGTATGATCCTGGCTTTACAGTGATGAGACTTGCTCCAATTGTTGAGACCACTGGTGCCTCATAAAATGGCTTATATTATTATTTATTTTTAAAAACTTTTGTTTTTATATTGGTACTATTTATTCCTAGCATGTATGTATGTTCTAAATATTATCTATTTACTTTTTTTGCCAACTAAGAGGTAATATCAACTCCCAGAGTTAGGTATTTTGAAAAAAAAAAAAGTACTCTCAAACTCTTACAGACATGTGTTGCCATCTCTCAGTGTAACTGCTCAGTCCATGAAAAACGCTTTTATTTTTATTATTATTTGCTTTAATACTTAAACAACAACAGTTACTATACACTTAATATATAGCTCATTGGATAGTATTTATTCCTAGTAAGTAAAGATCTTGTAAATCTAAATGACAGTCAATTTTTATATTTTATCTAGCTCATTGGATAGTATTTATTCCTAGTAAGTAAAGATCTTGTAAATCTAAATGACAGACAATTTTTATATTTTATCTAGCTCATTGGATAGTATTTATTCCTAGTATGTATGTTTGTTCTAAATATTATATATTTACTTTTTTTTCCAACTAAGAGGTAATTTCAACTACTATAGTAAGGTCATAAAAAAATTGTTAGTACTCTGAGACCCTTACAGGGATGAATCGCCATCTCTTACTCTAATCATTGAGTCCATGAAAAAACAGCTTTTATTTTTATTATTTATTTTTTAATACTTTTGTTTTTATATTTCATCTAGCTAATTGGATAGTATTTATTCGTAGTAGGTAAATATGTTCTAAATATTATCGATTTCTGGCAAAACTGATAATTAACTTTTGGACTAAAATATTAGCGATTTTGGGGGGAAGCCATTTGTTATTTCTCTGGGTTTAAATTCAGGGCTGCTAAGATTCGAACTCGAGACCATTGATGATGCCTTCTTCTGCATACGAAAATCTACTTATATTTTATTTAATTATATTAATTAATTTATTTTTTAAGCTCCATTCATTACTGAAATATAAAAAAAAGGTTTTTTTTTTTTTTTTTGGCGTTATGAACTATGCATATTAGCCATGTGACAATTCATATATGTGTGTTCAAATTTGGGGGGTTATTGTGAAAAAAGGGCCAGAGGTGACGGTGGGAATCGAACTATTGATCTTGTAAATCTAAATGACAGATAATAATTGAATTAATTTATTTACAGGATGTTTATAAACATCATTGACAGACTATCTCACAAAATGAAAAAACAATATATATATAATGAGTCAAACTGAAAGAAAAAGCAAATGCATAAAATGTAAACAAAAAGTGCAAAAAAAGTGATTTTCTAAGTTTTTCCTTAACAATATAAGTTAATTACTCATGTTTACTTTCATATTATTTCATTTACATCAATTTTAAATTAATTTATTAAAAAAATTGAATTTATATTTTTTAAAAATTCAAATGGACTTACTTCGACAAATGACTTTTTACTTGAAGGTGTGTCTGTGCTGGCAAGAGAAGATGTGGACGAGTTCATATCCTCCCGGCTCCTGGATTCTTTGCTTCTTCCGCTTAAAGACTGTCGCGAGCTGAAATCGTTTTCTCCGATTTAAACCACACATTTCAAAAACAAATTTACAACATTAATTTTCTTTTTACAGTCATCAGTTTATAACAGTCTATACCTTGCACGTGATGGGGGAGCATGCGATGCGGGGGAAGATTTCCTTCGGACGCTGCCCAAAATCCGGTAAGGAGGCATTGTTAACAATTATTAAAACTAATTAGTCAAAACAGAGGGACAGGTGATAAAACACAGGGAGGTCATTTAAACGAGATTGGATGGTTGGGTGGGTGGGAATGATTATGGGGGATACATGATGATACATGCACATTAAGGTATAGTGTTAAAAATTCAAAATAAGTCAAAAAGAAAAGAATATGTCAGTGTGAGTCAAGTAATAAAATAAAATTCAATCCATAACCATTTTACTTGACTCACTCTGATTCTGACAGTCTGACAAAAAAAATCTGACAATTAAAAATATATAATTTTAATTAATTGAGATAACGCAATAATTTAGTACAACAGAAAATAAAATTCTATATACATATAAAATAGACATTTTTATAGATCGGTATTTTTAATTATTAGCAGTATTAGAATTATTATTATTATTATTTCAGAAGTATTTATTTTATTAGTCAGTATTTTTATAGACCAATAAAACAATGAGGCTAGAATTGAAATTTCCATCTTAAGACTTTAAGATCATTAAATATCACAAAACAAACCAACAAATATATTTATCTGGTACCTTGTAAGTCTCGATTTCATTGGTGTTCTTAAAGGGTCTTCGGGGGAAGTGACACTCGGGGATGAGGCAGTCATACCGGTGTTCGCCAGGTCGATACGGCTTCCTGTGTCTGTGATGATTGAAAGCTGTGACTGGCGGATGAACATCCCATGGTTCTCCTTGCACTGTAATCGAATAAAAAAAAAACTTAGCATCAAGTGCGGAGGTGAAAAAGGTGAAACGAACCTGGAAGTAGGTCTTGTTCTTGATCGTCCCATTGTTTTTTCCTTTGGGCTCGTCTAGAATCAGACCGACCCACTTGCCCTGGGCGAACGCTGTCGTACCGATGTACGCCACCTCTCCCTGGATATCCTTTCCGGTCACCTCGACCCGCTGTCCCACCTTCAGCAAATTTGCCATCTGCAGGAACAATTTTTATTATTAAATATCATCACTGAACTAAATTAAAGTTAATCATCTTTAACTGTTCTTTCATTATTTTTTTATTGAATTAATATAATATAATATTAATATAATTAAAATAAATAAATAAAAAATAAGACAAACCAACAATTAATGAGTAGTCCCAAATTTGATTTGACACGTTTTCCCTTTTCATGTACGTTTTTCTCAAAACATTTAAAATTTTTGTTTAATTAAGTTAACTAATGACATCTGTAGATCTTTATGAAAAAAAAGTGCATTAATTTCCCATTCTTAATATTTCATCTGCAATACTAAATCCCCAAGGCACATAAACTCCAGACCCATCGTGAGAGTACATGGTTGGTATATGGTTCAGCTTATACATTCAAGTTAAGCAATGGGAGATGAATAAGTAAAGAATTCCACTGTACATTTTGTGAAACAAAAAAACAATTGTTGGAGAAGTGTTTGGCATTAATGTGAAGAGTTTTGAAGTTTGTTAGTTTCCGAACAATTCCTTCAAGTTTTGATCTGTCAGAACTGTTTCGGCTTCTGGTGGGCCTGTAGAATTGAGGATATTTTTGGCATGTTGGCAAAACAACATCCAATCAAGTTCAATAAAATATATCAAATTAAGTAGCTCGACTGATGATGTCAAGATGAAATGTATCTGTCAAACCAAAACAGTGAAGATAAGCTGACAAATAATCGGAAGCGACTAAACTTCATCAAACCAAACATTACTCCAAAGACCTCACGAGGAAAGGAAATATCACTTAAGTATTTTTACTGTTTATGCTTTATCTGCCATTCTTCGACATGCCATAAATTCCACAAGAACTTTGTCATCTGACTAGTTGAACTATTAAGGTTTCGACCGACCAACACAGGCTGACCGAAGCCACCACCAAGAAGAGGCCAAGAGGACTCCATTTTAGACTTTACATTTTTAGCATTTGGGAACTCCTGTTGTTGTTGGGTTCTGTTGAACAAACAACAAACGAAACATTGAAAAACATGCTTGTAAATTTCAGCCTGATTATGAGCATTTAGTGCTCCAAATTTAGATTACTGCATAAAACCAGTTTGTGAGTAGAACTGTCGTTTCCAACCAGTGAACTGACATGCCCACTCCACCGTAAATATTTCTATTTGGGAACTTCACCCTCCCTTACGGAAGCGTTGGGAAGATGTGGATAAAAACCATTTACATCACTTTCTGATAGATCATTTACCGTTTTAACAGTCTCAATCTATATGGTATGGTAATGTGGTTTCTGTTGAATAAGGATTGGGCAACTCGATTAGGTTGGGAGGAGAGTTTATTGAGGAAAGTGGAAAATGTTTTGGAGATTATTTTTTGCCCGAGAGAGATTTTAAGGTCATTTTGAATGCGTGATGTTGGTGACATAGTAAGGAGCATTGATTACGGTTCTGACGACTTTTTATGGAAGGACAGTTTTCTTTGGAGTTGGAAAGTTTAGCATCCAGATTGGTTTAAAGCAGTGTCCACTAGCAATAAATCTTGCTCAAGTTGCTCAAGCAAATTCAGTTGTTACTGCTAGCTTTTCGACCTATTTAATGGTCATCATCAGGGCAAACAATCTTAAATTTATCTACAGATTGACACATTTAAGCTGTTTTACAGGCCATCTCAAATTTCCTTGAGACTCAGTACCAACATTGCCAAGGACTGTAATAGTATAGCCCATAAAATAAGTCAAAAGCTTGGCAGTAACAACTGAATTTGCTTTTTTCTTCAAGACCAAACCTTGATCTAGATTTTGTGAATGAAAAAGTGTCAATATGTCTAACACTGAAAACAAATCGACTTTCATAAGAGACTTTTGATGTACCCATGCAAGCATCATAGACTAAATGAGCTTGCTGTAAGTTGTATGTGTAATTATTTTGACCTTGCAACAAGCACTTTCTTGTTTATTGTGCGATAACAATGTTAAGTTTTTCTTTCAAGTTTTCACTGTTGAGTGAGAAAAACTGTGGTGTTGTGAAAAAATACTTAAGCCCATTTTGTTACATAAACAATATCCCAAATTATAGCACACAAAAAAGAACGATTTTAAAAATCAGTATTGGGAAGAATAATTGTAGCAATTGAATGTAATTGGCTTGTCATTCGTGAAAAAAATTTAAGTTGCATAGGGCTGAGTTCACTTAATAACCGATTATGAAGATCAAGAATAGATTAGATTATATAGGACCGGCCTCTTGACGACATATGCACCACGATGATTGGTCTATTGTGCATCTCCATTTTTTAATCTAGAGCTCCTTGTTAAGTGTAAGGCTTTCTACCAGACCCCAAAGGTATATCAACGGCTCTCGTGTATACCCTTCAGGCCTTGGCTTTTCCTTTCCCACGATTAGGAACCTCAGCCTACATAGGCCTTCACTGTTTCTTCTTCTTCTTGGCAATATCCGCACAGGCTTGTTTCTACCATGCCGAGTCTACATGTATGCCTCCAGAGTCTGCAGTGTCCAGTTAGCACTCTTTTGCATGCCTGTCCTGGGCTACCATTGAACATAGTGCTTATTTTTAATCCAGTCTATTGGATCCGGGATTTTGGCAGTTTAGTATGCCACGAAACGATTCTGGACCAATATCCAATCGAACTTTCCTTGGCCAATTTGTCAGCATCTTTATCACCACTTTATTTTGTGTGTCTTGGTGGATACCCAGATAAGAGTAATTGTTAGTTTCCCTAATGTACGAAGACCACAGTTATCACGCCTTGAAATCCAAACTACCCACAATTTTCAATTTTTCTATTATTACTAATAGCACTATAGCAGCAGCTGCTTGTATTTTGCGACAACTTTGCATCTTGAACTAGTGAATATGGCAGCTAATATATTCATCAAAACGAATCAATACTGGTGTTTATTCGGAAAAACGATATGCACTAGACAAATAGCAAACAGTGTGACATTAATGGCAGTATTGCTAGTGAATATGGCGCTTAATATTGGCTTGTAGATTGTCAATTTGTTTTTTGTCAAAATGGTAGATTTGCACGACAGTAGTCTGTAAAGTCGTATTAAAGATTTCAATTCCTGTCGCTTTAGTTGTGGGTCCGTTCTAGGTTTGTCTTGAGTCTAGATGGATCCCAAGGTAGCGGGCGAAGTCTGTTTTTTGGAGTATTATTGAGGAATGCTGTACGAGGGATTTTACTTCAAAGAGTGAAGCGTGGGAGCTTTTGCTTTAATTAAGCTTTAAAGGGAATCTGTCAGTCGATGAAATGTCTCAACAAAAGCCACAAAAAAGTTGAGACTTCTTAGGCAAACACATCTAAAGGAAACAATGAAAGTTTACTTTTTACTACATCAAACAATATACATAAAGGCAACAGTCGTGGAACTGCAAGGATGTGCAGGTTTTTATAGATTTAATTAAATTTATAAAACATTTGTAACGATTATGATCCAATTTGTAATTTTCAGCCAGTAAAGTGGCAGATTTGATGAAACCAGACCTCTTCGAAATATCCTCAAGAGTTTTGTCGTTTTTTTTTCTCTTACCTCAGGGGACTCGTCTTAACTCTGTTGCCTTTTCACTTATTTAACTCATTTGCTTATAAAACTATTTTTAAAATTGTTGTTTTAGGTTTAAAAATTGAAAAATTAAAAAAGAAATCCAGGAACGAGACGGGATTGCGGAAACCTCGCCGTCAGTCCCTCGATTGTCCCAATCATCGAGGATTTCTGATCGACATTCAAGAAGAGCGGGAAAAGGTGAAAATTCAAAAATTTATCACTTTTCCTATCACAAGCCACAAATTCAATTGATAATGAATTTCATGCAAAAAATACAGCTAAAATATAAAATTTGATGCACTGAATGGACTAGGTAAAATTTACCTTCATCATTCACAATCATTGCAGGCTAATGATCAAAATTTGGTCAATCTTATTGATTTTGAAACAGTGCTGAGTAAAACTCATGATCGTTAATCATCAACAATCATCCCGATTCTTACAAAAATGTTTCTGCAATTTATTACAGAACGAATATCAAAACTTCGGCAAAATACTGAAACGTATCTGACAAAAACTTGAAAAATAAGCAATTTTTTTATTTTCTTTAATTTATTTATTTAACAGGAGCCACACCTTTTTTTTTATATATATGTACAAAATGTAGAAAAGTAACAGTTTACAAAGTAAATTAAAATTTACAATGAAATAATATAATAATAGAAAATATACACTGAGATGCAAAAACAGTGGCCACTCTTAATATTTTTAACTATCTCTTAGACAATCCTCCATTGATTATCTTACAACAATATTTGGTTCATTTTAAAGGATTAAAGGTAAATAAAACACAGATTAGAATGTCCCACTTGTGTTTACGATTAGATTTTGTAAATAAATCTTTGAATAAATCAATCTTTGTTGGTTTTTCTGTAAAGCTTCTTTCTAACGTTCTAGTGGTTTGGTTTTTTTATGTTGCACCATTTTGAAGTTTGAGTGATAGTTTTAAGTGATGTAGATTTGGCTAGAATCAGCATTGTTGGAAGATGGAAGAAGTCAAGCATATGTGACCGGGGTGCTTAACATTCCCAGAACAACTGTCCGAAGGGTCTTCCATTTGAGAACTACTGAGATACTAGAGTTACTCAAGACGGCACGGATTGGGTCGCCATTCTGTCACATCTCAAAGAAATGATCAATCGTTTCTAATGTACTCCATATTCGACATTCTACTGCTGCTGAGATCGACCAATGACTTCACTAAGTTAGAAATTTAATGACAATTTATGCACTGTAAGGCAGACTTTCAGAAGTTGGATTACGCGTGAGAGACCTGCCACTTGTCCAGAACTTCTTACACAAAACAGCTCGGTTAAGTTTCACAACAAATCACATGTGACTTGCATGAATGTCTTCAGTGATAAAGTCTTTAAATCTTCCTCATAATTCATTTACATTTGATGGTGAACATGTTTATAAAATGATTGCTATTGGGTTGTCCGGAAAATAATGCAGGATTTTGGTATTAAACAAAAAAAAAGAAACTAGTTACTTTAAAGCAATGTTCTTTAATCAAAATAATTTNTGACATTCATACAAATGAGTAATCCTGTAAACGTAAACAGAATATTTTATATAGATTTTTTTTAATGAAAACTTAAAATCCTGCATTATTTTCCAGACAACCCAATATTAACAATTAAAAAATAAAATGGCGTTTATGTACAGGAATTTGACCACCCACATGTCCTGCTTCAGAACAAAGAAGGATATCTTTATAAAATGGTCGAACAGACTGGGAGAGCCATGATGGAGGCGCTGACAACAATTGCAGAGAAGGTACTAAAATCTATTACTAAATGTTTTCTCTTTTAATCGCTTTTTCTTTTCTTTTTTTTTTTTTGTAATTTTCAGAATTACTTGAAATCAAAGGACGGTGACAGACAATGACGGTAATACATTTAAGATGTATTATGTATTTTCAAAATGTTAAAAGTTCACTTAATGTAAAAATAAGACTTTATTATGAGAATTATTGTTTTGTACTTATATTCTTAGAATTCTCAAAATACTTTGTACTTATGCTGTATATAAATAATGTATTACTTGTAAAATTCAATTTTTTTTCATCTTCTTTCCAACCTATTTTGCCACAATTTTCAAAAGTTTATGTGGTCCAGCCATTTGGAGGCCATTCTTATTTTTTCTCTTGCTGAATTTAAATTAATTAAAAACCAGCATTCATGACCAAAACTTTATCTGAATCCATGACAGTATTTAGCCTATGCGCAATTGTTAATACCGTACAATTAGCAAATTTTTCTCTTATTGTTTTTTGTATCAATGAATCTGTTCTAAAAAAGAAAAAAAATCAGTGTTTAATTGCTTAAATTGTGGTGAAATCTGCATACTTTGGATCGACATTAGCGGTGGCTTCGTCCAAGACCAATATTTTGTTGTTTTTGACAATCGCCCTCGCCAAGCAGATAAGCTGCCTCTGGCCGATGCTCAAGTTCGAACCGCCTTCTGTAATCACCTCTTGAAGGCCGTTGTTCAATTCCTCGACGGTTTCCCTAAGCTCGACCTGAATTGAGGAAAAATGTTTAATTAGACAAAAAAATAAAAAGATACTTCAAATTGATTCCCTGTATCAATCTTCATGAAATTTGGTCAAAATATCCTCAAACATTATATGAAACTAAGGAAATATCAAAAGTCTAAAAAAACTCGTCAAAAATAACTTTTTTTTTCGATTTATACAAATTGAAGCCTCGGTTGCGAGTTATCGACATTGGCCTGTTGATACTTCAAATTGATTCCCTGTATCAATCTTCATGAAATTTGGTCAAAATATCCTCAAACATTATATGAAACTAAGGAAATATCAAAAAAAAAAATATCAAGTTAAAAACACAATCTGCCTTGTCAAGGGCGCTCCATAACACTGCATCCTCGTGCTCGTCGAAAGGATCGAGATTTTTTCTCAGGCTGCCAGAGAAGAGGATCGCTTCCTGGGGGATTATGGAAATTTTCGATCTGAGGTCATGCAGGCCTAAATCAGCGGTGTTGATCCCATCGATCTTTATCTCTCCACTTATCTCAGCCAGACGGAACAAGGCGGAAATAAGCGAAGATTTTCCAGCCCCGGTTCTTCCGACGATTCCGACCTGCATACAAAATTCACAAATAATTCTCTAAAAAAACTAATTATAACTCTTAAAGTTGAACATCCAAGTTTTTTTCTGTAATCATAATTAATAAAACCTAGGACTTATAATTAATTAACAGATTTAAGCTGTTCAAATACCAGGTGAATAGTCTTAAGTAAGAAAATTGTTTTATTCTTCAGACAACACATCCAATTTTACAATGGTAAAAATAATTTTAAAATATTCCATTTAATAATAACTAGATTTTAAGTTAGAATGAAACCGTACTGGCTTTCAGTGTACCTTTTCGTTTTTCACAACTGTGAAAAAGAGCTTCTGCAGAACCCACGGTGAATTTGGCCCATAACGAAGGTGAACATTAGAAAATTCGATTTTTCCATCATCTGGCCATGATTTTTTTGGCTTTTTGTCTGAAAAAGGTCAATCAGAGCTTTTACAATTAGGAAAAGATAATTTTTAAAAACATTGTAACTTGGTAATTTCCAATGTATCTTCAGTGGCGAAAGGCTGACAGACAAAAATGATCGAAAAGTACAAGTCACTGCAGATGTCATGCAGAAATTGGCAAAACTTCTGTTGTTTCTATCAAAGTTCAGTGTCTAAATCATGGATAAAGATAACCAAGGAAGTTTTCCAATTGTAATTTGACCGTTTCAAATTATTCCAGTCTACCTTGCATGCTGTCAGGGTAATAAGCAGAGTGAGGCAATTAGAAATGATCAAACTACAAGTTTCATAACTACGCAGACCACAAGAGGAAATCTCTCAATTTTAACCAATTGCCAACGAACCTGGACTTGATTCCAGAGGAGGCTCGCTTTCCAGATTGGAGTACTCTAACACCCTTTCGACGGACGTCATCTGATTTTCGAGTTCTGCGCTCTGCCTCATACCCCACTGGAACATTCCCGTGAGACCGGCCGCCTGTGTGATCGCCAGTCCCACATTTCCTCCCATCGTCTCTGCAAACCGGACCATCACACATGGAAATATTGCAAACAAAGATAGATTTACCTTCATCCATTAAAATGAAACTGAACGTGACCGATGTTATGTACACGACGCAGAACAAGTCGAGCCAGAAGCCAAACGTACGACTTGCTGCTATAAATAAATACCAAGCTGTCGAGTGGAGATCCTAATAAGACAAAAATCAATCGATTATATATTTTTATTAACAAATATCTACTCGTTTTACCTGATGGGCATCAAATTCATGAATTAATCTTTCCTGTGCGTTAAAGGCTCTGATTGTTGTCAAGCCCTGAAGGGAAGCATTCAAATGCGTAAACACGGGGCTCCGAGCTAAAACGTTTTTCTTATTTTAACAATTAATAAACAAATATTGATTATAGTTCATACTAGGTTTATTTTATAGTTTTTAAAGTTAAACTAGGGCAAATAAACTTCTTAACACTTTTATTATATTAGGGTCATGTAGGCCCTGTCAAAAGAGCGACTGACTTAATTTTATGATTATTCGAGAGCATAAATCTCCTGACTACTACTAGAATTATGTACATTTTATTAAATAATTTTTCTTACAGATTCCTTCTAATCTTTTTAAACATCGTGAAGTTGTTGTGTAGAATATCCGCATGAAATAAAACAATGTTGCACAGATTCCAGTTGGTATAAGTAACCAAGGATTGATAATTGCTACGACTGTTAGGATTGCAAGAAGAGTACCTGCTATCTAAAAATTGTCAAAAAAAATAAAATAAAATAAAATAAATTTAATTCAAAATATTCAGTATTTTATTCAAATCTTTCACCTGGAATACGTCCAACAAAGTTGAAGGCAGTAATTCATCAATTGTACCCATGTCTTTGGAAAATCTGTTTAATATACGTCCTGGGAAATGAAAAAAATATGTTTAGACAAAAACGCCAGCATAGAAAAAAAGATTAATAACCTGAAGGGTTGTTGTTGAAAAACAACATCGGAGCTCTTGTTATAGAGCTGAACATATGCCCGTGAAGTTTTTTAGAAGAATTCATACACAATTTGAAATACATAAATGATCTGATTAAAACGACGAACACAGTGGCGGCAGTGAGTGCGCTGAACACGTAGATATATGGGTATGATTCTTCTAAAGTCAACGTTCCATTTGTATAAGCATACTCTGCTGAATTCACCCTGGGAGGAGAATTTATTAAAACAAATCTATTATCAAAGGAAAAAGAAAATTACCAGTATGTTATCCAGATGTCACACCCACTCGCAAGAGCCTGTGTAAAAATGAACATAGACAGGACGAGAAATAGAAAAAACCATCCGCCGCCAGACTTAAGATATATCCTATAAACGTACCAACCGACTGAGCCTTTGCTCTGCATCTCGGCCTCCTCTTCCGGCTCTATGTCAATAACATTTTCATCATTAATGGAAGATATCAAACTCTGAAATACAAAATTTTACTTTTTTATTTCTTTTTATTTAAAAAACAATCATGCTTACTTGCTGTGAAGACCTCCGGCTGAGGAAATTTTTAGGAAGATGAGGCTTTTCTTCAAACTCCTCTTCTCCTTTATGCGCCACTACGTTTTTAAAGTCCATGCTTGATTTCTGCAACTCTTGGTAGGTGCCTTTTGCCAAAATCCTGCCCTTGTGAAACACGAAAACAAAGGTGTTTTAAATAATTTAAACAAATGATGAGCGTAATGCGCTTACATTTTCTAAAAGAACAATCTGATCCACATTTTCAAGGTATTGAAGCTGATGTGTGATAACAAGGACAGTTTTGTTTCTCAAAAAGCCTAAAAACATACAAGTAACATCATTTTTAATAAAAAAAGATGTCAAACAGTGCATTTTTTCCAGACAGAGTGGCCATGCATACGCCGACATCGCCCCCGAGGAAATATTTTCACAATTTTAGAACTTAATTTTTGAGTTATGGAGAAGATACTAATTTTTTAGGGGGTCCAGAGAATGCATTTATAATGCACACAGGGCTTGTGAAAAAGTCCACATTTGCCTCAGAACCCAGGGCACAATTACACCGCTTGTTTCCACCACTCTGAGACTATACATATGCCTTCAGTGTCCAGCAGAGCATGTCATCTGTTGGTATGAAGGTGTATGCAGGGGGTCTAATTAACTTCCCTTGGCCAATTTGTCGTCCACTTCATTGCGTCTCTGCCCTGGTAATAACGGTAATTTTGTTATTTTCCCCATTTTTTTATATGAATTCTAATGAATTCTAGGTTTATTTTCATAAATGCCAGCTCCTGACTCATATCCGATTTTGGAGCCATCTGTAAACCAGATATGGTCGGCAGTAACTGGGATCTCTTTTCCCAGTCTGCTCTACAGGGTATTTTGAGTAGAAATTTTATGTCAAAACTGAATTTAGGGGTCATGACATCAACAGGCATCCCGAGAAGTCTAGCTTCAGCTAACAGCTTTAGTTGTTTCCTTATGTGAGCAGGCTTTGGAGCTTTTGACTTTACTTTACTTACATTAATATTTTCAGCTCGACCCCCAAATTATATTGAAATATGAAAAAGTCTTCAGTGATGAAGATCCTGGTGAGACCAAAAAACATAAATATAAAAAAAAATTATAAATTTTGGTTACCAATATGACTTTGACTAATATATCAATAAATATATAGATAGATAATGATATTTCATTTAACAAGACCCAAGGCTCTCAGCCGAGCCATAAAAATATCAAATAATTTATTTAATTTCAGTTAATTTCGGTTTTGAAAAGTTGTTAGGTTCACCTTGAATGCACTCTTCAAAAAGGTGTTTTCCAACATGAGTGTCGACAGCAGATAAAGGGTCATCCAAGAGGTAAATGTCAGCATTTTTGTACACCGCCCTACAAACCAAAACTCAGTGAAAACAGCCCATAAACAAAATCCGATTAATTCACCTTGCAAGGTTGACCCTGGCACGCTGTCCTCCGCTCAGAGATACACCCCTTTCACCGACAATCGTCTTGTCTCCATGGGGAAACTGTTCGAAGTCTATGAGAAGCGAACAGGCACGCGTGACCGCCTGATATCGCGCCTTGTCGTAAGGCTCGCCGAAGAGAATGTTCTGTCGAATCGAGCCTTGGAACAGCCACGATTCCTGGGAAGCGTAGGATATTTTACCGGAAATTTTGATGGTCCCGCTTGTTAGAGAGAGCTCCTTCAGAAGAGCGAGGAAGAATGATGACTGAAAATTTACACTTATTTAATAACTTCTTTGAAACGAAAATTTTCAGACTCACTTTGCCACTTCCAACGGTTCCGACAATAACAGTAAGTTGGCCTGGAATTACTTCAAGATCGAGAGAATTGAGCGAATTGTCCAAAGAATCGGGCGACCATTTAGCACATGCATTTTTCACAATGATCCCTGGCTTTTTGCCCTCATGAGTGAAATGCTCGTACTTTGTAAGCAGGTGAAAGTGATTCTTTTCAACCTCATTTCCATCAACAAAATTTGTAAATTCTTCGTTTTGCAATTCTAGAACGAGGAATTTCTGAAATAAAAAACATAAATAGAAAACAGTTATTGATTCAAAATATTAATAAAAGTTTACTCTGATTCTTTCGACTGATACAAGTCCCTCGGCGAGCTGTGTTATACCCAGCGGGAAAAATATTGTCATAGATTCTCTTAATATGGAGTACAAAGATGTGAGCACGAACACCTATAAAAATTCTTTAATAAAACCCTGAATGTTTTTATGATTTTTAACATATTATAATTACATCCTCTGCATTTATCGAATTTCCAAGTAAAACATAAGAAATTATTGTAAAAAAAATGGCAGTCCGAGCGTGGAAGATGATGAAAGAATTCATTATTCCTCTGATATAAGAGGATTTTGTGATTTGATTGATCTCTTTTTTCCTGGACTGAGAGACCAGCTTGGCAAATGGCTTTTCCCAGGTGTACATTTTAATAACTTGGATTCCAGTGATGATTTCGTTCATGATGTGAACTCTGTAGTCAGTCCTGTGGGCAGTCTTGAGTCTTAAGTTTGACGCCTGCTTCCCCAGCCATCCTAAACAAGACCTATTATTCCTACAGGGCATTTTTTTTTAAAAGGAAAATTACAACCTTGAAATGGAATGAGGATGAGGAGTGATGTGACTCCGAGAACCGAAGCCGGTCCGACACGCAGCCACATCAAGTAAGTGACGACGCAAGTACTGACAGGCCCGATCCACAAATAGTGAATGAAGAGGAAGAAAAGATCAAAACGGTTCACATCGTTCGACATGAGATTGACCACTTGGCCGACGGTGGTCTTACCAAGTGACATCTTCGACAGCTTCAGTGCCTAAGGCAATAAACGAGTATCAACATTTGACCGATCAGAAGAAGCCGACTGATGAACCTTGCGGTACACTAAGGAGCAGACGGCCACTCGAAGTTTCATTCCTAAGTGCATCGTCCCAAGAATGAACGGGTGCTCGATGAGCACCACAAAAGCCACACAGACAACAAACCCCGTGGCAGAGAAGTAGGCATCATCCTTTGTACTACCAAGCGTAAAATAAGAGATCAGACCACCTAAAAACAATGGCTTCGCTATCCTGTAAACACAGTACTGTACTCGACACATGTTTAGACGGTTGATATGAAAATATCTCAAAATAAACAATAAACATTAATAATATTTGGGCAAATGTATGCAAGATAATTAAAAAGTTTAGGTGAAAATGAAAGTATTTTATAAAGCTGGCAGTAAATAATTAAACATACATAGAAGCAAACTAATATTTAAAAAAAAATAAGCTATAAATTTTAAATAATATTTAAATAAATAAATAAAAAAATAAAAAGTGAATTAAATTTTAAAATTGGTTTTTAAACAAGCAATCTTTTTATGAATATTTTTCATTAAAGGAGCAGAATGTAAAACTTTTCTTTTGCATAAAAAAACCGTTCAAAATTTCAAAATTACGGTATATAAATGAAATGAATTTTTAGCATTATTCAATTTTTTTTTTTTTAAATTTTAATGTCCAATCTGTTTAGAGATTAATTGTACTCACATAAATCCCAAGCATGATGTTGATAATTGTAAGCCATAGAGGATTAGCTTAAAACCGAAAATTTTGAGTATAGGCCTGAGTAGACTCGGTTGTTTGTTGAGTTTCTTCGACCGCAACACCTCAGCATCCCATTCTCTTGAACCAATAAAAAATAAATACATTTGATGATGATGATGACGATTCAAATGTTTTTACAGTTGTAAAGGACTTAATATTAAATTTTGAATTTAAGTCAGAAGCGTTTTAAACAAAATTTCATCACTTTTTTTAAAATTAGTGTTAAGGAATGTCTATTTAAGTAATTACTTCTCAAGTCTGCCTCCAAGTTTGGACGACTTGTGCTCATCTAGTGGCTCGAACAGATCGTCAAGGGTGAGATCTTTCTTCAGGCTTTTGAAGAATAGCGGCAGCATCCAGCTGAAAGTCACAGCGGAGAGTGGATTCGCTTCTGCCCTCGGGTTCTTACTCCTAGGTGTCTTTTCCGTCAGAGAATCCATCTTTTAATTCTAAAACCACAAACTAATATAGAATTTCTTTAATCCGACAATTTTCTTTTAAATTTATGAACTCTACTTTTTGAAGAAAAAGAACAAAACGATTCATAACAAGTTTTATAACTGGCAAATGTTTATTTAAAAAGAGTTCCAAGCTATCTACAAATTAATTCTTGTTTGCATATTTATTTTCAGTTACATGAACTGTTCCTTTTATCAGACAACAACTGCCACTTTTGTTATGGGATATTTCAAGAATTTGCTCATTAGATTTAAAAATTACAATTATAGACAATAAATCACTTCAAAGAAAAATTTAATGGACCCAATAAAAAGTAGAAATATTGTTTTGAATTTACCGTGTCTGATCTGATTGATAAGTTAATAAAAAACTTCCATTGACCCCAATTGAAATGAAAACTGATCACATTTACCAGCAATTTGTCGAGGAATTGTATAATTATTTTTTCATCTTAGTAATTAATAACTAGGGACTAAAAATTATTTTGTATGTAATAAATTTTCAAAAAGGAAAAAAGAGTACAGTTAATAAGTCCGGCCAAACGAAATCACTAATAACTAGGCAATAGAGTAAAACATAGGGCTTTTTTAAAATATAATATTCTATAATTATACAGATAAAGAGTACAGCTGCAAAGAAAGTGGAAAGTAAATATATATATATTTTAAATAGTAGTTTCTCATCATCCTAATCTATCTTTCCACATTTCACCTTCTTCAGTGGTTGGTCATAGATATTAGCAGGGCTAAACAAAGTTTGATGAACTTTCTTAACTCTTAGAACAGGTATAAGGAGAAACAAAGTTTGTAATGCTATCTTCACTCATTGATCAAGGAGATAAACAGGGCTAAGCAAAATTTTTAATGCTATGTTCAGTCGTTGATCAGGGGTATAAGCAGGGCTAAGTGAAATTTCTAACACTATCTTCACTCGTTGATCAGGGAGATAAACAGGGCTAAGCAAAATTTTTAATGCTATGTTCAGTCGTTGATCAAGGGTATAAGCAGGGCTAAACTGAGTCTGTTGTACTATCTTCAGTCATAGAACAGGAGTATAAGCAGAAACAAGGCTTGAAACAATATGTTCAATCATTGATCAGGGTTATAAACAGGTCTAAGCGAAATTGTTAACCTATCTTCAGTCGTTGGTCGGGGTTATAAACAGGACGAGGATACCGACATAATGCCAGAAGTCATAATTGAAGATGGCGACCAAACTATGAAACCTGTTTTGAAAACTACATTACAATTGAACTACAAAACGCCTGTTGTTCGGTGTTTTGGATCATTTCTCCATTCAGATCCATTTCGTTTTCTCACTATGTTCAGTGGTTGGGCGGGGATATAAGCAAGGCGAGGCACCAACAGTCAAACACTGAGGGTGACAAGAAACCAAAACACGTTTTTTTTCACTCTCCTTCGTTAGTCGGGGTTTTAAGTTATGAGCAGGGTGAGACACCCACGAGCCTTAGCTGACGATGGCGACCAAACTTTTAAACCTATTGATTTAAGATTCATGGCTTGAGCTGCGAAATGTCTTTAGTTTGGTCGCTTCCGCTCAGTTTAATCTGACAGTCGCATTTTGGCTTCTATCCAGATTCAATGCTCAGTCCGAGATACACCAACGGAGTTCCAGCACTGAGTGTGATGAGAAGCCATAGGTCGAACAAAACCATCTAAAAAGGCTATGAAGTTCGTTTAGTTTTATTGTTTCATCGTTTTTTTAAAACAACTAATTATTTAATTTTGCATTTGTTGTTGAGTTTAAAACAATGATAGACGTTATGTGGGAGGTAAGACGGTAATAAATCCCCAGGTCTTGGGCAAAATAATCACACGGCCTTCGGTTAGGAAATGAAAGAAAGGTGCAGAGTAAAAAGCAAAAACTGGTTTTCGACTTTTGCCCAGTCAAGGCCTGGCCTGAGAAGATTGCCATTTTTCCCCGAAGTGTTTATATTCCAAACAGGAATAAATCCATCTCCTATAAATCTTGCAATGGCGAATTATTCGCGAATCGGCCTCAAAACTTTATACAACTCAGCATGGCTGTAAAAAACTTCAAAAACGCACTAATTTCAAAACGGTCAAGTTCAAGGGCATCTGCAAATTGACTTTCACAAGTCAACCGTCTTCGGTACCACCATCCATATGATGCTGCATTTATTAACCGGCTGCTGTTTCAACAACCAGGCGGAAAATTGACAATTCAGAAAGCTTCAGATTGGATCGAAATAATCAATAATCGACGCTGCAAAGAAACTATGTTAACTGAGACATCATACAAGACTTTGGCTCCATACAAGTAAGGGATGGAAAGTGCCATTTATGCGGGTAAAATCGCATGCCGACAACATAGAAAACAAAACAGACTTATTGGCGAAAGAACCTGCCGCAGGAATGGCCAGGTGGGAAGATTCGAGCTGCAAGGCAGGCTCTCTACAAAAGAATTTTTCCCAACAGTTAAGCCTTGATTGGAATTCACTACAAAACTTCGAATGACAGAGGTCTTGAATGGCCATGGTAAAATGACATTATCTTCTCTGGTGTATAATTGTAGACGACCGGACAAGTAAATGTGGTAAGCTTCTTCACCTGGGATCACATGCCAACTCGAGTGCTTAAGAGGGAGGACGAAGCCATTCCAGAGAAGACCACCTATTCGTCACAATTCGAGTTTATTTTATTTTATTTTTATTTTTTTGACTGGGGCTTCCGACTTCTAGGTCATTTCAGCCCCCAACTATGTCTGTACTCTATTCACCCTTTCAAACACTACATTCATACAAATAAATACATTCATACAATACACTCTTTCCGTTTGGTCGGTGGAGTACTTGATATTCCTCCACCGACCCTATATTCAAACTAATCTANAGACATACTATATACAATAAAAAAAACCAATTTCCCCTAAAAAGCGGAACAGGGGACTCTGAAACTCGCTACCGTGCTCGAGAACTCTTCTTAAGTCCTGCGGCATGCCTACACGCTCTCTGTATGGAGCCGCGGCCTCTATTATGTGGGACACATCGAGCAACCTTTCTCTGCATAAGGGGCACCTATGGTAGGCCAAGGTACACAACTCCCCCCCCCCCCAGTACAAACCGCGGGCGATACTGCAATTCCTCTAACTCAAATCCACTCCAAGCTACCTCTAACATCCATACCTTCAGCTTGTCAAATACTGGTGCAAAAAGACTGATTGAAGAAAAATGTTCTCAATGTATGTCCAAATTGAAAAAGCCTTGACCTCCACTGTACATCAATAACAAAAAGATATCGATTTCCATTCAAGTCAATACTGAGATACCTAGAGAGTAGACTGACGTCGAATCTTTAGACAAGAGACATCATAACATAAGACTTGGACAACTACGAAGACTCCTAGGACCGAAATCTGTCTTGACGTCAAAACGAAACTAACCTTATACAAATTTTACTGCGACTACTTTGGGCATAAGGAGTGGAATTGCTCTGTCAAGCCATCCAACATACAGCGCAACCAATCGTTCCAATCAAAAGTCTTCAATACAAATTGTAAAAGCTCATTACTAACGTCACTGACCTAACTATCCACAACGACCTCAATATCTCTTGTCAACGAACTGATCCGTTCAAAAATTTCCACGCCAACCTCTCGATCCATTTTAACCATACTGCTCGAGCACTTTCTACAAATTCACATCCCGAGAACCCGCCCCGTCGCCTTATCGTCCATGACCTCAAGACTTTGTCCGTTAATCCTCATACTGATTACTACAACTGGCTGGTTTCTTTATTGGTAATCGGAATTTTCCGGAGAATAGCTCGTATGTTTCGACGTGTAAGAACTTAAAGCTCTGTTTCGATCTCAAGATACTTTAACCATGTAGTTAATTATTAGTGGAATAAACCAGAATTGGTAGGTACACAAATGTCATTGGTAGTCAAGAGGTTTTTCTGGAAAAAAAATCCTCAGAAGCATTAAAGCATTAACGTGTAAAAAAATCACATCAAAATTAGTAAGTGAATGCATCCACAATCTGCAAAACCTGGGAAAACGCAACATCCTGGTGATATCTTAAGTACCATGACACATTTTGGGTAACGAAATGACAGTCATACTGACAAGATGAGGATCTGCAAGGCCATATGTAGGCCCTGAACTTATTCTTGGGATAACAAAAACATATACAGAATATATGTAGATAACATATCCAAAATGGATCCAAAAAAGTCAAAAGTGAAGTGGATAACTACTGATTTACTAGACCCATAAGCTTATGTTAAAACAACCCTCACCAAGACTGATATACTCATTGATTCAGTTAGAGATAGCTAAACTCAGAGGAGTAATATGTCTATATACTAATCACTGGCATCCGAGAAAAAAAATCTGCATTGGGTACGACCACCATTGGGTTATGCAATGAGAAGGAAGAAACAGCCATTTTATCTTCGAATGTGAAACAACTCAAAAGAGCCATATCCTGGGGTACAGAAAAATCCAAGGCCAATGACCTTATTCTTCTAAAGTGAAGGATCGAGTCAATTGAACTGAAGAAACTAGGAAAGGTACAAGCCAGAAGGAATAAAACTGTATTTCCATCATCATCACCATCATTTATAGAATTTGATTCTTTTACAACACGATTAACCTTGTCGCTTGTTCGCGCAGAAGTCAGAAGTATAATTTATTTTATGGCTCCGAAAATCTAGTTAATGCACGATTACATCTAGGTAATCAACACCACTGGCATTTTGTGTTAATTAAAAGCAATGTTAACCTGGTCATCTTACGACGTTATCCACACCCTGTAGCGAGATGGAGTGTACATCTGGTAGCTTTACTTCGGAGTTTTCCGGAAAAAAGAGAACTTTTTTCATGATCGTCCTTCACTCAGAGACGTGCCTATTTTTATTGATTTTGATTAGTCCTTGAAAGTTTAGTTCTGGACCGGCGAAGAACTTGTACATAACTTGTAAGTTGAATAGTCACAAGGCCTCACAAAGTACACTCAAAAACACCCTGGACTTTAATAATTTTCGAATTATTACGGATTAACAAACAAAGAAGAAACATAAACGCACTGACTTATGAGTCGACATGAGTCAGGATTGATATTGAAATAGATAAGAATGCCCAGATCAAAATTTAATATTTTTTCGAAAAATCATAAGCGCAAGAACTTTGAAACCATCGGCATCCTAGTAAAATTTACAAAACCTTCTTCTTCAAACTGTAAGTCTGTTAAAAGCTCATTGCAATGTCACCACCAAATTAGGGCTCATTCCACATCCGCCATCGTCTTGCTGTTGCTATGCTGTTTCTGATGAATAAATCTTGTGGGATTTGTATTCAAATACAATTAACCGTCCACTTTTGATTCGGATAAGATTTTAAAAAAGTACGCTGGGTATTGCATAGTGGAACTTCAACTCAAAGTGGTCGAAGTTCTTGTACAATTTAGAAGGGCTTTTACATCTTCATGGTAGTATAAGCATTATGTTGAAGTGTTTAGGATCTCCACGAAAGTCTTAGGAATAATCTTAAGTACCTTTCCCAGTCACAATACTGAATCTACTGAATCACTGCGCCCAGAGGACACCTGAACAAACACCCATTGTCAGTCCGTTGAGAATTGAAGAGGTCTCGAGGTCATCTTCGTTTAAGGCGGCATGAAGATTTTTCGGGACTGGACAGGTTTACACAGTGTTTTAGCAGTATGATTAAGATGAATCGAAAGGTTGGGTTGGTATTTTACTAAGCAGGAACGAATTCGATCATAAAAGGAATGGATCAAGTCATAGAGGACGTTAATGACATAAGGTTAAAGTTAAAAGAGTCGTCTCTCTTAGGGCTTTCAACATTGCATCCAATATTGGCCTGTTGTGCAATCTCCGACAAATCTATCCACCAAGTTTTGTCTTTTCCTCTTCCAGCAATAGGAATCTCAGCTTGTACGGGCCTTCACACCAACAGACGACATCCCTATTTCTTCTTCTCCCTGCTTGTTTCTGCTGCTGCGTCTAATTTTGGTACGGATAGACCACACTGGCGACAACCACAAACGTTTTCGCTTCCAACCCAATATAACAAACAGTATAATAAAACAGGTAGAAGTTGTGATTTACAATGATATTTAGAAAAGTCGAGCTAGAAAAAGGCACGCGTTATCAGCCATTTTGACCTCTGGCGAAACGTTTCCTTGAATTTAAATTCTAGGTAAAATAGGTCGAATCAGAAGTCGTCAAATTTGATGAAATACTTTACAATTCATCGGACTTTGGGCTAATGAGTAAGAGTTAGGAAAAATAACTGTAGAAATAGCAGTTATTTCATTTAAGACTGCTAGATCGGTGAAATTAATGTGTTAAGCGTTAAAAAAAATTGGTCTTTTATAGGACGAAGAAGTCGGAGGATCTTATAAATTATGTTATTTTAATGTCATGCGGTACTCACTTCCGTCGTCGGCCCCACGGTTCCGCCGGCTCCGAAGCACTGGCAGTTAGCATGTGCTTAGATTATTAAATCAGCCACTCCTCCCGATTTTTGTAGAGGGGAAAAGATTGCGAAAAAGGGGGCAAATAACACGTGCCACCGCTAGACACGTCTCGGCTGTCTGTTTCGCCACGACTGAGGCCCGAAAAAAGCTCGTCCGTTTCGTAAAGTTTCAAATTCAGAACATACCGGGAACAACGGACTTGAAGAACCTGAAGGCGAGTTCGATGCGCTGTGAACATTTATGAAATTATTATTTTTAATAAATGAAATAGGTTCTTTTACTGGATGTCCTATTCATGTTTTTTAACTGTAAAACTTGTAATAGGGTCATCGTATTTGCGACACTTGTAATGAGGCGACATCATCTTGATTATCATGATATAAGGTCTATATATTAAAACGCCACATAGCAATTACCAAAAACCGCAACGCAAACATGGCTTACCTACTCAAAAAAAATTAAAAATTAAAAAAATACATTAGCAGAAATAAACTGAAACAGAAGCTAGTTTGTGTTATTTACAGTGTTTTGTTGAAAATGTAGCACAGAAACCATGAATAATGGGATTAATTATTTTTATTAATTGTACTTTTAATCTGAGGTCTTGGTTGAGATGAAAAAGCAAGTGTCATGAGCGGGATTCGAACCTACGACCTTCTGCTCAATAGGCCGCTTTTCTAACCATTTGATCTATCGTAATTTCGATCCACTCGGACACCATCACCTGTGACACTTTGCATATCTTTTAACATTTTCCTTTGTTAACTTTGCTTCCTGAAAGTAGCCCCTGTTTTTTTAAAGCTGTTTTGGATCATGGCTGTTTTTCGTACGGAAATGCATAGAAATCCTTTTTTAAGAAACTGGATGTCATAATAAAAATACACGGCACTCTTCGATCAAATCTAATGGACATAGTAAAACTGGAAACCGCCATAAGAGGATAGTTTCTGTCAGATAAATTCGTCCTAAAATTAATTAATTCGACTCAGAAATAAAATAAGCCTATTTTATTCGAAATTATTAACATATAAATATTGATCAAACAAACCGAATCCTATTCTAGTCACCAGCTTCTTAAGTACAAGAAAAAAAGCTTCTTAGTTTAAGCTTCCAAAGTTCAAATGCTATAATAAAATTAATTACTTCCTATGTTTGATAGGAAGGAACAAACATATGACTCTATGTGAGGAAGTCGAAATCTTTTCCTTTCAAGACATCAAAGATGTGGATGGTAAGCTAGATAATCATTTTTTCAACCCTGAATATATTGAAAATTGGCAAGATCACCACGTGGTGTTGACTGATGGTTCGAAAACTGAGGACAGTCTGGTTGTGCTATTTATGACCCTCAAAATGAATATGAATGCTAATAATATTACCATCGGAGGTTGACATTTATTCCGCAGTAGACCATATCAAATGCATTACATTCGATAAAAAATGATAAATTTCTGATAATATCTCACCTCTCACAAAACTAAACAAAGGCAATTTCAAGGAAAATTATATAATTTTTGAGATCCTATCCAAAACTCACCTCCTTAAGATGAGTTAAAAAGGAATTAAAATGGCATCGGTTCGAGCTCATACTAGGGATTGCCCATGTTGGCCAAACTAGCCTCATAAACAGAAAAGGATTCTAAGTTTCTGCTTAATTACGCATAATTAATGAAATGTGTTAAAAGGAATCAAATCTAGAATGGCAATCAATATAGTTACAGTCGGAAAAAGGAGCGTTTTTTTTCAAAAAAGTACAGCCAAAAGTGGAAATTAGTTGGTTGAAAAAATCAACGAGTCAGCAAGGAATTATGTAAGATCACATGCAGACTTACAAGAGTTGGTTTGAACCAAACAATTTTTGGTGATTCTATTCTATGCCGATTTAGAGCTGTTGGAGAAAAATAAATGTGAATTAAGTTTACAGTACAAGTGGTCTGTTTTGAAAGATCTGGAGAGGGAAGATACGTTGATCTTTAACACCTGGAATAGTATTCCTGACTCATATGATCAACTGAAGAAATTAGCGTTTGCTGTTCTTTCCTTATTTGGGTCTACATAATGATGCGAACAATCATTCTCAAGCATGAACTTTATCAAGAGTAGGTTAAGAAATCGGCAAAGACAAGAAAAAAAAGCTTCTTAGTTTAAGCTTCCTTAGACAAAATTTTACATTTTTTTCTGTTTAATATTTATATTTTCTTCCGAATCCAGCCTAAAATTTAATAAAACCGATAACAAATAAAACATAACTGTGTTTTTTTCTTCTGCAGATATCTAACGGTTGAAGATTGTTGCTTCAGAAAAGCATGGATTAACTAAACATTTTTTATGTCAGGACTTGACGCGAAGTGGAAGATCATACAATGATCTTAGTAATTTAATTTTTTTATGTAACAGACTACAGTAATAAAGTTAAATATACCCTTGATTCAATCCCTTTTCAAAAAGACTTTAATCAAATCTTGTACCAACTATATTTTCGTTTTTTTAATTTGTCACCTTCGCTGGAATAATAATGGCTAATAAGCACTTGCAAGCAGCGAAGGTTGTACTTGTATGTCATGGACATTATTGGATGCGGGACCCGTTCGACCTTGCTGATACGCATGTTAGGCATTGTCAAAACGTCCATTATTTTTTAATTTGTACTGTTGGTTCATTCTATGACCATTTTTCCCCGTAGTAGTTAAATCCGTAAACCATTAAATTATCCAGACTATATTCGAAAGGCTATGAACTCTGGGGGTCCCGAACCTTCATCGTGACCTTTTGTCTGCGGTGAGAAACCACCCTACGATGGAATTCAGAGCCTCCATAAAGGATCAAGATCATCATCAGCCGGGTTACTTTAATCGAAACGGTTGAATGGACCTCTAGGAAGCAGGGATTTCGATCCTCGAGGTCTTCACAATATTCTAAGCATTCTGTTAAGTTGTCTATTAACTTACGTGTGGGGATTTCACGATGTCAATCTGTAATCTTAGGTATATAGTTTTAAGTACCTTTCCTAGTCACATCAATGACTCTATAGCCAACCTTCGCCTGGTCCATTTTGTCCACACGTAATTTGATTAACAACGCCTGTCATGTACTCAGTGTGAGTCCATTGAAGTTTAAGGTCGTTTAAGGCTACATGAATTGGACTTGTGAACTTTTGTGACATACAAGGAGCTATGACCATTCATGTCAGAACTTCTGTAAGGGTTTGATATTTTGGGTGTTGGATGGTGGAACGACACAGAACTGCTATGTGTGGTCAAAACTTTTGTTCAAATTTTGTTCCTTCATCATTATAGTAGTCTAAGCATTATATTAATGGCTCTTAAGTCTTATATCATGTCTGCTTTTGCATTATCCGTACCATATTTCAAGTCAATTTTTGTCTTAAACTTTCTATACTATTATTTGATAACAGTTTGGTGTCTTATAACGATTGCGGTATGTTCTGGGTTGGTGATAATGACAGTACTGAGATGTGTAGAGTAAACGGTATGAAGGAAGGAACCAGGTACCCTTGCGCCTTCTTGTATTGGGCTAACCGAATATTCGTCGCCGCAATCTGAAGGAGCGCTGTTCAAATTCCTGGACTCCTAAAAATAAACCTGTTTAGATTTTTTGTTCGACAACGGACTGTCACATTTATTTTTGTTTTTGTAAACTATATAATTAAAGAGTAAGTCATTTTGTCGATACTATTTTAATACGTAACGTCCCTCTCAGTCTCGTACATTTAGGAATGACATCTATGAGTATGTCACACAGCTATTTTGGACTGTCATTGTTATCGCTTGTTGTTTCTTGGTCCAAGTTTTTTCTCGTTTCTTGAAATCGGATAAAGTCGATAAACTCTTAATGATCTGGATACGCTTGGTTCATATTTCCCAGACAGAGAAATAAGACTTTCTTATTCTTATACACCAGGGTCACGATAATACGAACATAGGCTAATCCGAACGGACTTCGCGGGATTATTTTGGTTATTGGTTAGCACATCGTCGTAATGCGCTGACATCCACTACCAGGCCTCTTTTGGTACTTCCAGTCTCTCGGAATCGGACTAAAGCCCGGGAGACCACGCTCTGAGAACTAACAACTGCCTCTGCGATATCCACCTGCCGGTGAACTCAAGTGGTTCGAGAATCTTTCCAAGATTAAAGAGAATACAACTGGATTAAATGGAGAAAAGACGAGAAAAAGTGTTTGTTTACAAAATGAATATTCTTCGTGTTTACTTAAGAATAAATTACAATATCCCTATTCATTTTTGAGCTGTTTACATTCTTTCTCCCTCCCTCTATCTCTCTACTTTGGTTGTATGTTACCTGTTATTACCTTTTGAATTAAAAAAGTTAAAAGTATCATTGAATAAAAGAATCAATCGAAAATTATTACAAAATCCCCTCTGAAAATGGCGAAAAAACGAACCTGATGAAATCTGGTCTACCAAAAAATGAAACTTGGCGGACCAAACTATATCAAGTCCATTACTCCGCAGACCACTAGAAGCGATACGCAAAAACCCACGAAACTATGTTAGGAGTCTGAGGTTTCAATGTTTTAAACTTTGTTTTTAGATCAAAAGCGATAAACGAAATGCAACAACTTGGCAGGTGGTCATGGCATTAGGATCGTTTCGTCGCATTTGCCCATTTTTAAATGTCCATAATGCTCAACGTTATAAGCCTTTTTCTTGCTCCGGAGAGAACAGATGACTGAGTAATTAATTAACGTTATCTCAGATCTACTCGAATGGTAAAATACAATTGCAATTAAGAGTATTATATTGCCATCTGTCATACGATGAGAGATCAACAATACAAACCGAAGAACCACATTTTTATTAAGTTAAAAGCACACACACCTTGTTTTACATGTGCTATTAAGTTTAACGTTCGAACAAATAAATGTAAATAACGAACGATTATTTCGCATACTTAGAAAGAAAAGTTTTCCCCACATTTTTTCAGGCCTTACTTTTACTATATTTATTACTGATCAGTTAGGCCACCGTGTATTGTATCTTAGGAAGTTGTCAGGGATATAAGTAGGGCGAGGCGTAACACAAACCTACCACTGAAGATGGTGAAAAGCCGAAACGCTTTGACACGCCACAAACTAATCGGA